AAGAAATGTAAAGTGTATTAAGGAAAATTTTATTTACAAATTGTCTACTTAACTAAATATATTTTTTTTGGGCACAAAAATGTTCGTTTGAATGAAGAAAGTACATATTGCCGTGGGTTGTACAGTTTCCTATTTCCATCTATATATATTTTTTAAATCCATAACATAGTATGAAGTAAAAATCTCTATCTATTGTCTATGGTCTCTAAATAGCACTTTACTTTATTCATACGATATTTACAAGTCTTAGTTTAGCTTCATGTCATTTTCGATTAAAATACACATTAATTTTACTATGCCAAGGTCTCAAAGCGGCGTAAAAAATTGCGAGTATTTTTGTTACAGTATCGTAATAAGATTACTTATTATAAAAAAAATGGACTAAATACTCAAAATATGAAGTGCAATGGGCGGCCTTATCGCTTCCAACCGATATCTCTTAATTGGATTAATCTAAGTTTTGTAAAATTATTTTGTGTAAATAATAGTTTACTATTTCAATAATAGTAAACAATATTGCAATTGGAAATCAATCCACAGATGTTTGCTTAAATATATTTTAAAATGTTAATGGAATGCACGAAAAAGTATAATATAATAAGCTAATTAAAAGTTTCAAATGAATTATTAGTTAAATTTATTTAGTGAGGAAAGCATTATGATAGACACTTATCCTCAAACGGTACCAAAAGAATATTAGCGTCCCAACTGAGGGGCGAGTTCTGGAGTGTCTAAAATAGAGTATAGAGTACATAATAGAAAAATTTCGTTACATTTACTCTACTTATAGACCAATCTCCAGAATAATGTAAGATTTTTTTTCTATTTGTATAGGTTAATAAATATTTTTATCACAAATTTTGTATTGTTCAAAGTGCATTTTATTTCAACTGTTTGCTTTTATAAATCGATAGATATTTTGCTGCGAAAAATTGCATCGCAGCTAAACGAATTGAAAGCGGTAACTTTCTAATACGAGTGTTAATCGTCGAGTTACGGAATCTTGAAGGCTCCGCAAATGATCGTTTTCTGTAACCGTAATGACGGTAGGCGCGGCAGACAGCCTGGCTACACTTTATGGCTCCAACTCGTTATTATGGAAACTTGATCGCTCCTTACCGGTTACCGACAAGCGCTACCATGTATAACCTATTAGGGGCTTAAAAATCCATTTAGGTAGAAAAAATTACGAGACGGGCAGGACTTGAAATGGCATTCACAACGTTCCGTACTGCTGCGCTAACCAATTGAGCTACTGTTTTAGTGTTGAAATAACGTCGCGCGAAATTTGACGATGATATTGTGTTGGGCACAGTAGCTCAATTGGTTAAAGCATGCACGGAACGCTGTGAATACCGTTACAAGTCCTGTCCGTGTAGTAAACTTGAAACCCAAAAAGATTTTTAAGGTTCCTAATAAGTTCTAGGTAGTTTCTAAGTTCTAGTGCAATTTAGTAAGAAAGATACAAACAATTTAAAATAAAATCTAATTATCTATTAGTAGAGAAACAGTACGGTAAACTGGTAATCTTGAGTTCGAATCCAATCCTTGACAACAATATTTCTTTAATAGTTTTACATGTTATTGTTTTAAAAATTGATATGAGTCGAAATAAACTGAAAAAAAAACCATGTAAAATTTAAAAAATCGAAAAAAATTGAAATTTTTTGGACTCGTGCAGGACTTGAACCGGCATCGTCACCGTTCCATGCTGTTGCTCTACCAATTGAGCTACCGAGCCGAGAGCTTATTACATATTATAGAAACATCGGGCCGAAATTAAAAAATAATGTTCAAATAAGTTTAACTAATATATCACGTTTTAAACCGTTAAAGTGTTTTATTTCAATAATATATCTTAAATACTAACTCTACTGTGATTTATCTACTGAAAATTCTAGTCTAAATCAATGTTTCCAATTTTACTCAGGAATATTCTATGTATGATTCACCTGACGTTTTCCGAACGGAATATTTTATCAGACCAAGGTTATTCATATATTGCAATAGAACAATAATGTTTTTGTTTATATTGCTATTATTTCAAAACGATTGATACCAATTGAAAAAATAACTTCCTCATCTAAAATTAACTGTCCCTCGCCACGGTACAGTTGCAGCTAAAAAAAATAACTTTGATAAAACTTTAACAAACATTACTGAGGCCGTTTGAATAGGATAATAGCAATTTTGATAAATAATGTTATCGAGGTTGAATACGTGAATTAAGGAAACTGTAACGAAAATCTAAAGTGTTCTAGTTTGATCTTCACTGGTTCAGTATTTTGACTCGTTGGTCGAATGATAGGTAAGTGTGGCCAATGATAATCAACGGGTTTCTAATTATTTTACATGTGTTACGAAGGCCATCATCTATAACCCTGGATACTAAATGTGTTTAAATTTAGTCCGGGTCACTTACTATCTATTACTTTATATTACAAAAAATAAAAACATTGTCTCATGCTTTAAATCTGGACTAGGACTTTTTAGAAAAATAACGATTAGCCCAGTATTCAGTCAAGCCTTCTAACAACTAGGTCAACGATGCAGTTCGAGATAGATATTATATCTTATCAACATTTAATTAACACAAGGGTGTTCCATAACTATTACATACGGTTTTTATTTTAAATACTGAAACACAGCTACAAATTTTACCATATTAGAGAGTATTGATTTTTACCTACCCCCAATTATAAGGCTTCTACATATCATAATCGTATTCTTAACCTTTCTATATCACATTAACACATTGACGTATTATTTAGCCTTATAACGCAAAAGCCCTCTATCCAGCGTCATCCGAACTGATTTAAAACCGATTGTTTACGACACTTTGTTGTCTACAGTGTAATGTAATTTGTACGCTTAATAATTTTCTTTTGCCCGTGGAAACTCAATTAGGAGTGTAACACAAAAACTTAATTACTTACAAGACGTCGTATCAGCTTTTCTCAATAACGGTGTCCATTCTGACGCGGCGCGGGGCCGTTTGATGTAAGTAGTGCTGTCGTAAGAACTACTCGCCAGAATTACTTTTTCAATGATATAATTCATCATCTTGAAAATAGAACACTCACTATCGATAACAAATAACAACACTATAACTAAATAAATCGGTATTATCCTGACAGCGTCCTATTCCCGACTGAACCAGCTCAGAGGCGTTACAATAATTCATTATTATAATGATGTTATGTTTAGTGATAAAAGGGCACTATTAGATATAACGCCAACCGTTAACTAGCTATTTACAATGTTATCGTGGAAAAGTACCTTCGCCGGTGTTGACAAACAAACAAACGACAATCAGTACAACTTGACATAGATAACGACTAACGATTCTTGTCAATAATGTACACTAAATACCATTGGAAATTCCCACGAACCTAATACCTGAAAATAAATAATGTGCATAGTTAATAAGTCTTCTATAATAGCGGCTTGAAGAAGATATAGAGAGAATATATGGTTGTGACGTATTCTGGTCTTACGTAGGATGGAAAACGTTAATATTTTTCACATGTTATTGGTACATGTCATTAAATAAAGTTGGAAGTTCATAACATTCCAAAGCAGCAGCACGGCTTATTGTGAATGCTAGTTCGAGTCCTGCTCGTGTCATATTTTTTCTTAAATTTTAACATATTTAGATTACGTAGGATTGTGGTCTGTCAACTCGTTATATCATAAAGCAGTCGAATAGGATCTACTGTTTTTGTCTCAATAGATAGACAGACTAAGCTAAACAGGTAATGAGTAAGACTTTCTGAGAATGACGAAATAGCAATATTAAACTCATGCGCATTATATGCAAACGTTTTTTTTACACATGTTATCCCGGGGGTTTTTAAACGGGCACCCCCAATTGGGGCCCCCAATACTTTTTTTTCCCCCAAAAAAACACCCACAAAAAAAAAAAAAAAATTGGGTGGGGGCGGGGGTTCCCCCCCCCTTTAAAAAAAAAAAAAACTCTCTGTCTACAGTGTCTCTATCATAGTAAGGTGCGCAATTAAATTACTGTCCAAATTCAAAAACTCGATACAAACTTACCAAAGAGAATCGTTGACAAAATTTGATACCAATAAAATATTACGCCAAAATTGGCCAATTTATTGTATAAACCTATTTCATAGAACAAACGGTTTATGTAATTCTTGGCTCTACGATATTTCATTCAGTTCATTGGACGACTGACGCAAAACCCACCATGAACTGTGTATTTTTCGTAATTTTCATCGCCGCTGTTGGCGCAAAAGAAATTTTTGAACCGGATTTAATAACAGACCTAATAGATGAAATAGCGCAGCGTTATTCAATTGTTTTTCGTATCGTGCTGGCAAAAAAGGTAGTTATGTCAATGTTTTGTTGAGCTTTGTTTTTTATTAGTTATAAAACATGGTAATAAATTTATTTAATAAAAGTCCCATATTCTAAGAAAAATAACTTCATTTTTCTTAAATATATATTATTAAATTATTTGAAAATTATTTTAAACTACGGCCCGACGCTTTGCACAGCCTGGTCCGAAGGGAATTTTATAATTAAACAGATTGTTAACTCTAGGTGTAATGGTAGAATGGTAATAACCAACGGGTCGTGGACTCAATTTATCTGGAATTGGATAAAGGTGGTAGGAATATCGAAAGTTGTCCGGGTCACAATCACAAATTGAAGGTGAATTAATCGAGTTTCGGTTTCCGAATATTTAAAGCCAAAGGCTGACAGCGCATTTGTTTAATGTATTATATGACGGGCTCGACCGACGACCACAACAATAATCGATATCGTTTTATTTTTGAAAATTGTATTAACAAAGGAGTGTTCATTCTGTAGATGAAGCTATTAAAATGATTTCTAATCTAATCAAAAAATCAGAAGCACCAATAATGATTCAACTAACCAGCTGTGATTTATCATTACAAATCAATGATATTAAGCGTAATACATTATATATCGCAGACGTCAATTGTCTCAATATAGCAGAATATCTCAAAATGGTAAGTTTAAGATTTATTCATATCAGAACACGAAGATTTATCATGTAAATAATATAACTATATATAATACAAATAAACCAAAACATACTCAACATACACACAAATATAAAAATACAGTAAAAAGTAGTTAACGTGTAATATCAAACGCAAGTTACAATCACAACAATGATAAGTTTGGGACGGTGGCTGGGCGAAATATATTAAGATTTTTAAATTTAAAAATAGCTTTACGAATTAAATGAAACACGTTTAACGGTTTAAAACGCGAATTGCATTAGTTAACTAAATTTAATAAGAAACGTTACGCTACGTTAGCGCCATCTGTTTCCTCGTAGTTGATACACATTAGGGACACTCTCCATCTTCAGTCCCTCCGTGACCATGGCTTCTAAAAAGCATCCAGAGAGTCAGATCGTTGTTTAAATAAATTTACTAATCCATTTCACATTTTAAACGGTTAAAATGGTTTTACTTAATAGTCTACTACTATACTTAAGTATACGATTTACATGTAAAAAAGTACTGGTTGTGGCCAAGTCAAAGGCACACACACGTGCGACCGGACCTAGCTGAAACGTGAGATAGCATATTGTATTTAGATAAACAATTTTATTTATTAAGACGCTATACGTGAATGATAAACAAGCAAATAAATCTCGTGGTTATGTTGACTACAAAAAGAACAATAACTTAGAGAATATAGATTATAGATTTACTGCTTTCAGTGTAAGGAAAGAAAACTGTTCCGGTCACATTTTAAGTGGATATTACTACAAAACCACGAGGATAATGCATCGTATAATTATCGTATTGACGAGAGTATCAATGCTTTACTCGATTCAGAAGTTTATATGGTGAAAAAAATGAGGGAAACATATGAAATTAGTCTTGGTAAAGTATCTATACTAATATGTTAAGAGTTTATTTGTTTGAGCGCGCTAATCTAAGGACTTACTGGTTCTAATAAGTAAATATGTAATAATGATTATTTTTAAATAATCTTTAAAAATGTCTGAATAGTAGGTATATGTCTTTAAAAATTTAACTTGCAAGAACGACGGCACTCGAACAATGTCGTGGTAACTGTTTAAACTTTTATAAATGAAGAGAGGTTTACAAAAACAAATTTGGAGGCCCAAAATAATTATTCTACGCGGACAAAGCTGACACAGCTAGTATCTTTCTAAGATTATCTCTACATCTCAATGCCTAAATGCATAACGTGAAATACGAGTGGTCCTGGGTTCAAATTTGCACAAAATAATGATAAACTAATCGCATTTTAATCTTTGAAACATAACGATGCCTCAAAATAATATTTCTACTTTTGACTAATATTTCAGTGTATAAAATATCAGCAGATACGAAGACCATCCGAGAATTTTTTGGCAAATGGAGTTTTGATTTTGGTTTACGAAAGAAAGATCAATGGATAGACGTCACTGCTTTACGACGAAGAAATTTGAGACTACATAAAGTTAATGTATGCTTTGTACTAACGGATGAAGATAGTATCAATCATTTAACGGATGGAGTGTAAGTTAAATACTTTTTTATATGACTAGAAGATTATAATTGTTATTATAATCAGAGCTAGTAACAAGGGCTTTTTGCCGATTGTATATAAAAACTTTTCCATGAGAAATTTAAAGTTTTTGCAATTAAACTTGGGGTAAGTTTTAAATTTTTTTTCGCAATTAATAATAAGCATTAAAATATTTGTTCGCAGTTAAAAAATTATGTATTTTAATTTTTCTAAAGTATTTTTACTTAATTACACTTTTTAGCGAAGGTTAGATGATTTTTATACAGTCATCACCACGTTTAACGAAACAATGCGTACTTAATAATCATAATACTTACTTTTACCTATTTATTTATCATTTGTTATGACGCTATGTGATTTTTTTTTTTTTTGATCCATCCGCTTGTAATGGCGAAACGTGCCTTACACAATTTATTGATTATTTTCAATTTTTAATTGTAATTTATTTATATGTATTACTTGCAGTAACGATCATATAGACACCATTACAAAAGTGAACTTTCCGACAGCAAATCAACTTCTCGATTTTCTTAATGCCAGTACAAATTATATATTCGCAAATACATGGGGATACAGAAGTAATAACACTTGGAATGGTATGACTGGGTACTTGGTGAGAGGGGAGGTGGAAATGGGAGGTATTATCCAGACTCTGATTTTTATTTCTAGTTCTTTATGTCTGTATCTTGCATTGATTGTCTTCTTTTTAGGTTCTCCAATGTTCTTTACTTCTCAGCGTTTGTCTGTAGTTGAGTACATTTCAAGCCCGACTCCAACAAGATCGAAATTCGTTTTCCAACAACCGAAGCTATCATATGAGAATAACCTATTTCTATTATCCTTTCAAAATTATCTATGGTACGGTTCCGTAGCTTTATTGGGGATTTTATTTCTGGCTCTCTTTATTATTACAGCTTGGGAATGGAAACAAAGGAATACAGAACAATCAGTAAGTAGTAGTGTGTCGGGCTTGTTGGTCTTATGGTCTAATAATCAACGGGTCGAGGGTTCGACCCCCACCGGGTCCAACATGATTGTTTCTAATCTTGAAATTTAAAATTTTTCTGAAACCTGTTGCACTTCGCCTGGAAATCTGGATAGAATGGGTAGGAGCATAGATCTACAGACAATGCCGTGAAACTTAATCGCGTTTCGGTTTCTGGGCATTTCCGAATATCCAAAACCAAAATAGGTTGACAGCACACCTTTTGCTTGTGCTGCATGCTACCGGCTGGGGTATATCACGAACCATCAAGTGTCTGTCCCCCCGTGCTTGTCTGTCCTTCTCTATCATTAAAAGTTAGTAGTAAAATTAGTAGTTGTGATTTTATTAGAAGAATAATGAAAAAAGCATTCGAAATGTCGTGTCAGTCAGAAGTGTGAGACAGTGTATTTAACTTTCAGAAGGTTGAATCAAGTGTACTTCGTCCAAATATTTTGGATATCGCAATTTTGATATTCGCTGCAACATGTCAACAGGGGAGCCACACCGAGCTTAAAGGTAAAGTATATTAAGAAGAAGATAGTGTAAATTTGATTTAAATTTTCATGTGAAATATATGACTCCGAAAAATTAACAAACTACTAAAGTAGGTAAATACTGTCTATAGTTTACGCGAGTAGTACTCAGTTAAGTAAAACCCTTTAACGTTTTAAAACGTGATATATTAATTAAACTTATTTGAACTTGATTTTTAACTTCGGCCCGACGTTTCGGTCTCCCCGTGACCACGGCGGCTGCAGAGCATCCGAATAAGTTTAATTAATATATCACGTTTTAAACCGTTAAAGTGTTTTATTTAAATGCTAAAGTAAAATTCAAGCAGACGAAGTCACGAGTGAAAGCTAGTCCGCAAAGCCGTCTCAATGATGCTTAGGAAAACTAGTGTTGGTGTAATCTAAGTGGGATAACATCTACCTAATACAGATGAATGTAATGCATGTGCACGGGAAATAATTAACTCGGCTCATTCTTTCCAGTCAGTTTTCACCGAGTCGTTAACACTACAAGCTCCCATATTAGTTTCGGACTATTTGTTTGGTTATCATTAACTATCGGAACTTTCCGAGCGACACTTTCTTTTATCTTGTTATCTCGTGGATGAGTAGGAAAATAACCGAGATTTTAGGTTAATTTTTGGAACCAACACGTTGATTATTTATTATAGAGAAATATTACGTTCTAATGAATGCTTCTTCTTGGAACATTTGGCAAACATTAATAGTAAATAAATTTTAACGGTTATGCCTGTGCCATTTGCGATCATCCTTTTTTTTGACAACTTTTATTGTGGGATTCGAACCCGAAACCTTTTGTACCTATATAACTACACCCGTCCCATGGAGGTGATAAGTGTCCAAATAATAAAGGCTACATAAATAAAGTATAAACTATCACGTACCTACTACTTAAAAGGTCTCATAGTTTGACCCGTGAATACTTATCTTTATAATTTATTGTTAAGCGTCTACAACAAGAACTATAGTGAGAACTAGATAGAGTCAGTAAGTAGATAGAATCTATTTAAAAATATTTTAGAAATATTTAATATTATATGTCAATCGTAAATCATTCTAATTCAGATGAATTTTAGCCAAAATAGATATTTTGGCCTAAACATTCGATAGACACATTTTTCCTTCTACCTACCTTTGACCATACTACGCTAGCCTGCAATATACTTACGTGCTTTGTAAGAATAACATATTATAACTTATTTGTCTACTTTCTTATCTAATTGTCTCGTAGGTTCATTGGGTCGCATTGTCTTACTTCTTCTCTTCGTGTCTCTGACTTTCCTCTACACTTCATATTCCGCAAACATTGTTGCATTGCTGCAGTCCAGTTCATCACAAATAAGGACTTTAGATGATTTATTGCATTCAAGACTTACACTCGGCGTCCATGATACAATTTTCAACCGATACTACTTTTCGGTAAATATCTCATATATTGTTTACCAAGTCTCGTTATAAATAACAGTACGAGAAAGATTCTTATATTATAAGTAAATCTTAATTATGTCAACCTTATTCATATTTATTTTTGTTTTTGTCGTTGTCTTGGCTATACCTTTATGATTGTAAAGCTCCACTATATAATATTAGGGCATTTCACGGAGGCCTTGTTTTTAGATCGAGACAGAACCGATTCGAAAGGCGATATATCAAACTAAAATCGCCCCTTCAGGCAGCGAGCCTCGATTTATGGCTATGGATGAGGGGATAACGAAAATGCGAAAGGTAATATGCAGTTTATATTTCGTAGCTATATTTAAACGATTATTTAAATTAAACATCTCCTTTTCGATCGAAACCAATCTACTTTCCTTTTAGTATATACCCTTAGACGCTGTGACTTCGCCTTGATAGTAAAAAGAATATCGATCGCTAATAATCTATTTAATAACACGAAAAATTACAGGAGTCATTCTTTACCAATCTTTTCCGTTATATATTTTTAGATAATATACGAAATCCACTACCTCAGGAAGTAATAAAAGTAGGGTGTTTCACAGGGATGTATGCTTAGACCCACACTGAGAAAATCTGAAATTATTTGTCTTGTTTTCGTTTAGGGTCTATTCGCCTTTCATATGGAAACAGGCGTTGGTTACAAATTCGTCAGTAAATATTTTGGAGAAGGTGAAAAATGTGGACTTAAAGAAATACAGTATTTGCAAGTGATCGATCCTTGGTTGGCAGTCAGAAAAGAAACTCCATTCTTGGAGTTGTTTAAGATTGGGTAAATAAAGTCACATAATAGTAAAATACCTCAATAAAACTAGTTTTAACCTCAAATATGTAATTAAAGTGTCTAATTGAAGCATTATTACGTTGATTTAATTTCGTTTTTACTACTTATAAGTATTCTGGCCGAGTTGAGAAGATTTTGTTGTTTTGTTACTCAATTTTTTTTATTAATACTTTTTACGAGAGATTCGATTCATCCGTACAAAGTAAAAGATTACAACAGCTTGCAGCCTTTTTGCATTGCTAAATGTAATATTTGTGAACTTGACCTTCTCAGTACAAAACGCCTTCAAGAACACGGCCTGCAGCAAAGAGAAAATCGGCTCTTGTATGAAAAGCGGCCTAAGTGCTTGGGCAGGCAAGAAAATTTCGTGTCAGTGAGCATGGTGGATTGTTACCCTGCACTGCTCATATTATCTTATGGCAGTTTGTTATCTATAGTTCTTTTGTTTTTGGAAATCTTATACGAAAAGAGGAAAATCTTATTAAGAAAATATAATTCTATGCGTTGTAATGGAAATATGATATAATAAAAAAAAATCTATCATATAAATATGTATATATAAGATAACTTAGAATTAAAAGTTTATGTAGATATAATTATTAAATAGGTAACAAAGCTTGACAGTACTCTTTCAAAAACAATCAAGGATAACGTAATATTTATTAATTTCTGCTCTACTACCACTGTCTGTAGTTTACGTGAGTAGTAAACATTTAAATAAAACACTTAAACGGTTTAAAACCCGATATATATTAGTTAACCTTATTTCGAAATTATTTAAACTACGGCCCGAAGTTTCGGATGCTTTGCACGTTCCCCTCAGGGGGGCTATATATATATCGTTTTAAACCATTACAGTGTTTTATTTCAATATTTTTAACTCCTTTTAAACACAAATTAATGCTTCTAATGAATGCAGCGCTTAGAAAGCTATGAGACTATAATTACTTAAGAACAATGATAGATCGCACTATGATTATAACTAGGAATTCTTGTTAATACGCATGTAGACGGCACAACACATAATTATTTGAACATGTATTTACCAGCCAGCCCATTATATAAGTTAGGATTTAGTTCATATATTAGCACGATAAAGCCTTACAAACATGTATGTTATAAATATATTGCTCTTTTTCATCGTCGTTAAAAGTATATCATCAATTAATGTCGATGAAATTAAAATGACGGTAGATGTAATTAATTCTTTTAATAAGCCGACCGCCATCTTGGCACTCGTTTGCAGTAATTATTGTGAGTATCATATTAATGTATAATGTGGTTAAGTTAGCACATTTGTAACAAGTAATTAGTGTTTAAACTCGACTTGTTAATTATGTTCAAATTTTTATATAATTTACTTAAATATTATTATCTTTAGCAAATCACTTACGTCTAGCGAAACTATTATGGAAAGAAAATTCGCCAAAACTTATAATGTTTATGAAAAATGGTGATGATATAGACAACATAACGCCGAGTAATGACTTTTTAATTATTGGTGACTGGACATGTCCGTCATATAGTACTTTGTTACAAAAGGTAAGTTAACTGACTTAATATCTAGGAGAATAAATCAATAGAATTTAAGAAGCATTTGTAGTTTACCCAAATAGTAAGTATTAAATATATATTTTTAAAACGTGAAAGAACTTAATCAAATTTTTTATCATAGAAATTATATTGAGGATTTTCACAATTCTCGTGACTACATTTGCTGAAATTTAAATAATTAAAAAAAATATCTTATGCGTTTCAACTGTTTGTAAAAAGTGTTTTATTTAAGATGCAAATTAGAGTAATTCATATTTTTACTCTTTAAATTTCGTCAGTTGTCATCGTTCATTACTAAAAGTTATAGTCATGTTTCAGGCTAATGACACAGATAAATTTCGCAACCCACTTAGATGGTTTCTGATTGATACTAAGAAAGGATTGTTTAAATTTAATATACCTATTGATTCCGATGTTATGGTAGCGGAGAAGAAAGAAAATAGCTACAACTTATACTCTCGTTAGTAAACCAGACTACCTTATACCTAATTATTTTTAACGGCCTCTGTGATAATATTTATTACATCACCTAGGATTGCTCCAAAAGTCGAGGAATGTTTTTCGAGTGAACCCAAAGAAATATTGTCTGTACTCTCCCTCGTGGTTCACTTAACGCTATAAACGGTTAAAAATCGTGGCCGATGAATGATGAAAAGTATCTACAACGTCGTGTAGTAAAAATTTAAATACTTAATAAATGTAAGGATTTTAACGGCATAAAAGGTTTCATTTAATATGAAAGAGCTAAAGTATTGGAATTAGACAAGGAAAGAAGTATTACAATTGTAAATGACTGCAATACATGCCAGTAAATTTAAGTTGACCAGTAAAACAGATTCTGTAGTATGAGAGATTACAGAAGTACTTTTTATACTAAATGAAACTTTTAAACAATTATTTTATTATAGCTTACAAAATGCATAGCAGCAAGACTTATAGGATAGAAGTATTAGGTACATGGGTACTATCACATGGACTGCAGAAACAGAAGGAGATGAATATGCCGGTATCAATGCGACGTAGAAATTTAAATGGTCTGCCTATTACAACCTCTCTTGTTATAAGTGATAACAACACAAAGACGGAAATTATGAGCTTAAGGTATACGAGAGTTTTCCATTAAAATGAGGCTGCTAGAGGCAGAGTGGCCTAATCAACAGGCTTTTTACTTAGGTGGAAATGAATTTGTGTAAAAATTATGTTAACAATTTTCGGTCATTGTGACTTGAAGATTAACATTATTAGACTATGAAAATATAAATGAACCAAGTAATAAAATTGCAGTGAGGCAACTCTGCCTCTAGCGGCCTCACATGGTGTTAGACTTCGAGTAAATGATCTGCATGGTTTTCTCCCAACACTTACACACATTAGATAGATATAAAAAGGAGAAGAAAAATGTATCCGGCTCGTTTAACTTTCCCCCCTTGTTGCTTTTCCCCCGCCGCGGCCCCCCCCCCCCCCCCGGCCCCCCCCCGGGGTTTTTTTTTTTTTTTTTTTTTCGTTAAATTTCCTATAAACCTTCACACTACATAAAATAATGAACGAGCTAGAATTATACAAGTCATGTAACGTAGATTAATACATCATTCTAATAGTATGATAATTGTAAATTGTTTTACATGTACGCCAGTGGCGGGAATTTCTTTATATCTCTACGTAGTAAGATCACGTTACCTAGCATTAATTGATGAATGAAATACCGAGAAGTATTTTTATAGTTCATTTTACCTTTTTTATTTAGCTACATCATTAGAGGAAACGAATAAAGCAAACGCTCCATAATATTTTTCCGTAAAATGTATTTTTCATATTATCACGTGAAGCAAAATATTTATACAAAACATTTGCGAATGGACTCGCGTTCCGAGATATTACCTAAGTAAATACTTTTATAAAATAATTATCGCAGGAACATATTTGTGGACACATTATCGAAGTCGGGGTATCGTCAAATTATGCCTCTGTATGACTTCTTGAATGCTACAATGGTCCTAATTTTTACGGACACTTGGGGTTACATGCTCAATGGTTCATATAACGGGATGGTCGGTGATCTGGTGAGGGGTAGAGCGGAACTTGCCGGTAAAGTACTTTTCTATATTAATATAAAATTAGACCTTAGTGGTGACAGACAAATTTTGGAAAAGAAAATGAATTTTGGCTGAAATATATATAAGTACGTAAATAAATCAAAAATTAATTTAAACACAGACTAATAATAGGTACATTCTAATTAGATGCATTCTATAATTTGGCTTTTGTTGCACTTAAGTAAGCACAAAGATTCAGTGATAGCCTACGCCTGAGATTTGAAGTAAAAGAGAAGTTTGCAATTCATCAATACAAAAACCGAAAACAAATGCTAAAGAATCCATAATCATTATCTTAATTAGTAATATAATGGTTATCTTACACTAACAAAAGAAAATAGTTTTAAAAAAGGTGAACGTCGCTTTGAAGAAATTGTTAATTAGCGATAGTGGTGCTTTTATTGTCAGCATAAGCAAGGTTCTTCCCAAATTACGGCAAACGATGTGAGAAGTGTCATAAAAGAACATCGTTACTACAGCTATGCGCAACAGGGAGTTTTGCCGTAACGCGTTACGAAACGCGTTAGAATGGATGAATTGAATACTCCATTTCGTTAAATCTCTTATTATTTTGAAAAAGTGTGAGTTATGTTTTTTGACAGGTACAATTTTATTCATAACGACATCGCGCCTCGATGTGCTCGAGTATCTGATGTATCCATCTCCTCCCACACCAAAATTCGTATTTCGCCAGCCACCTTTATCTTACCAGAACAACCTATTTATACTACCCTTCAAGCCAGTTGTTTGGCTCTGTATTCTTGGACTCGTTATGCTGTTGATCGTTATTCTTCTTATCACTGCGTACTGGGAACATGCTAGATTGAAAATTGGTGATACAGTAAGTATTTACATGTAGTATCCTTCAGTAATATAACTCTTAAAATAAAAATGTTTCTTTATAATGGTGGAGTACTTACACAATATTTTCGAAAGCTAATATTTTAAATACTGTCTATAGTTTACGCGAGTAGTACACATTTAAATAAAACATTTTAACGGTTTAAAACGCGATATATTAGTTAAACCTAGTTTTGCGTTTGAGAGACACCTGATTGACATAATGCATTGTATTAGCTAATAACGCGTTTAACGTAATATTTTACCTAGATTTCGTTTGACAGACTTTTGATATAATGTCGGCAATGTATTGCTAATAATCAACGTGTCGTGGGTCGCGTCCAATGTGTTTTTAATATATTTACAATTTCACTGAAACATGTTAGACTTCTAAATAAAACCCTTTAAAGGTTTAACATGCGATATATTAGTAAAACTTATTTGAAACTGATTTTTAACTTCGGCCCGACGTTTGTTAGACTTCGTCAGGAAATCTGGATATTAAATTGGTAGATCACCGTCCATAGGTGAAATTGTCGTGAAGTTTGATCGCGTGTCGGTTACAATTGATGAATTTAATATAAATAAAGCCAAAATAGTGTGATAGCGCATCTTGCTTAGATGTAATAGGGCTGGTGACACTTACCCCAAGTCCCTCTATAATTGATTTATTTTTAAAGATCTTACAAAATAAGTAAATCAACAACTCCCATTACTAACTATTAGACATTATACAATAATTATATACGTCCTAATAGGCAACTGATTTATAATTTTTAGCAAGATCAAACATTATTGCGACCTAACTTAAGTGACACAGTAATCATGGTAATAAGTGCTATTTCACAACAAGGAAGCACGACGGAACTGAAAGGTTAGTTTGTCTAAGATGTACCCGGTCTATAAAAATATTAACTTATTTTCCTGTGGTCATTTTTACGCTTGTAATTTATTATAATTGTTGTGATGTGTTATCATTGTTTCGTAAGTGCTAAAGTAGCTTCCTTTATTAACAGGAAATATTTTAACTACTTGTGTTTGAATTGTATTTAAGATTTAACACCTCAAAGGTGAGACTATCTACTGTTACTTTTAATGAGCGCTAAATCCAATTTTAAGTATTTAAATCATAGTTTGACATCCAAACAAACACCAATATTTAAATGTAACATGTACTTAACTGCTTTCCTGCGAAAATTTACATGATTTTTCGAATTAATTTCGTTACGGATTCGTTACGACTTATTATAATGTATTAATGGTCCCAGGTCTCTATCACAGAAGAGAGGTGTTAATAACATAACCGACCACGCTGATGTAGTTAGAAATTTAATGACTACCGCCTACCAACTGGCACCTCCTTTTGTCGAACCCGATAACTAACCATAGATATTGAATAACGAACCATTAACCTCATATGTATAGCCTGTGTAACTTATAGATTACAATTGCCAACTGCATTCCACAGATTATAATTAACTTATTGACAGGTACTCTCGGTCGTGTCGTGATGTTTCTGTTATTCTTCGCTTTCGTCTTTCTGTACACATCCTATTCAGCGAACATAGTGGCCTTGTTGCAGTCGAACTCGAATAAGATCCGGACTTTAGCTGATTTGCTGAACTCGAAGCTAGAATTAGGCGCAGAAGATATTGTATACAATCGATATCACTTTGCGGTAATTTTTATAAATAAAATAATCTTTTTTGGATTTCTTCCGAATATCCAAAGCCGAATAGATCGACAGCGCATCTTGTTTAGATGCTATACCATCAAGTGAACTCTGTGCGTCTGTAGAGGGGGCTCGATCATTTAAAAAAAACTTCGGACTATAGGTTCAATTCCCACGATATCCGAAACAGCTTAGAACTACTTTCGACTAGGTATATAAATATTATTTCCTGTTTGAAAACTTTAATATTTTTCACTATTTGCATTAAATATCCTTTATAACTACCGTGTATAACTGTCATTGATCGTTCAAGTCACTCCCGTATCGTAAATCTTTGTCAATGTAAATAGGTTTGATATATTATTTGTAGAATAATCTTAGAGTGTGCAAGAAGCAAACATTTTCTTCTACTACATAATAATTTAAATCAAAAAATAATTGCAGTCCGCAACTGACCCCATAAGGAAAGCCATCTATCAGACGAAAATCGCACCCCAAGGTTCGAAGGAGCCAAACTTTTTCAGCTTAGAGGAAGGCGTTAAAAAGATGAGATCGGTATGGATATAATTTTCGTTAAATTGCATTCTAATAACGCGATAATGATGTCGTTTTCCTCCTACAACTAAGAAAGATTATTATGATTATTTTTTAAATACTGGTAGGCACTAATTAAAACTTACTTTATTCTATAATGAACGGAGACGGTTCATTATAGAATAGAGTAAGTTTTAATAGACGCAACGGTTACACGCGCTACAAATCATTATGACGAGAGAGATAACGCTTTTGATTCCCAGAAAAGGGTCACTAGTTAGTGTCGGCACAGAAGTCTCAAAACCTTAAATAAAACCTTTTTAACGGTTTAATTTTTAAATCGAAAAATTACTTTTTAATCCAAATTTACGAATGCGTATAATTTGTATAAACCTTTAAAATTTGTGTTACGGGCTCGTTGGTCTAATGGTAGCAATGCATGGCTAATATCCGAATAAAAAAGTTTTATTTAATTTGTACCATTTTCATGAATCACAGATATAACTGCTCTGCAAATACAACGCAATATTATGTTATTACAGAAACCGTTTGCTTTCAACATGAACTTGGGAACTGGGTACCGATTAGTCGAAAAATATTTCCATGAACACGAAAAATGCGGCCTTCAAGAGATTGAGTTCATACAAGAAAACAAACCGTGGCAAACTTGTCGCAAGAATTCACCGTATAAGGAGATATTCAAAATTGGGTTAGTAATCTACATAGAGAAAGATATGCCTCCAACTTTACTTTTACATCCTCTACGCGTTCAGTTTTATTGTGCCTCCCAAAGTTCTGGCTTCGAATACTGACGAAATATGAGGCCGCTAGAGGTAGAATTGCCTATATGCATGAAATAAAATAAAACAAAATATACTTTTAAATAAAACACTTTAACGGTTCAAAACTTATTTAAAAATGATTTTTCACTTCGGCCCGGCGTTTCGGATGCTTTGCAGAAGTTAAAAATTATTTTCAAATAAGTTTAACTAATATATCGCGTTTTAAACCGTTAGTGTTTTATTTAAATGTGTACTACTCTTGTAAACTATAGACAGTATTTAAAATATACTTTATTCTGTTTAAAATTTTAAAAATTATTTAGATTTGTCAATTTTCTTTGTTTGTCTGTCTGTTTGTCGTGATTCTACAGTCAAAAAGTCTAAACTCAGTCCGGCCTTTTTAAGCGTGTCTTATAAACTAATACATTGTGAATTTATTAACCTAGGGAGCAATCCATATACTACTGGCATACTGCCAGGCGGTCTTGTCATTAAAGAAAGTTGAAAGATGATCTAAGTAAATATTTTCAAACTAAAAATGTTAATCTACGTTAAGAGTACAGTGACTAAATATTGTTAACATAATAATTTTTATACAAATAATAGTACAAATTAATTTTCGCCTAAGTTTATTGCGCATGTTTATTTTCCTCCTTATTGAAAATCATGTTTTTTGTTACTGCTTCTCTGTCTATAGCAGCCTTATATGATATCGAAATTTCATCACAGATAAAAAAGCATTGCTTTATAAGCCTATGTTTTGCATTTACACTGAAAGTGAAACATAAATTTACGTGTATAAATCGACGATTGGTCGAATATTGAATGTTCAAAACCAACTTAGCTTAAACGTTTTATGCTTGGAGATATCATTCTATCATTATCTATACTAGTATAAAAAGCTGAAAAGTTTGTTTGTTTGAACACGCTTATCTCAAGAAGTACTGGTTTATAGAGGATTGCTATAGTCTATAGAACATCTCGTTGCCATTAATACAAGCGAAGAAAATAGTGTAGTGATAACTATCTATCATAAATAATTTACAACAGTTTTGTAGAAGCATCTCTATATTATTTTTACTTCTTTTTATAGATTGATCAGAAACCAAGAACACGGACTGAACGATAGGCAGAACCGTTTGATATACACAAAGAAACCCTCTTGCGCATTTCGAGGTAGCAGTTTTGATTCTGTGAACATGACCGACTTTTACCCGGCTTTACTTCTTCTTTTATATGGAATGCTTCTATCTATGTTCTCTTTAATGCTAGAAATTGCGTATTATTACCGTGTAGCACGTAATCTAATTATGTTTCATTCATAATAATATATTGTATACTTAAAAAGGCAGTTAAAAGACAGAAGAGATAATATGAGGCTACTAGAGACAGAGTGGCCTAATAACAAGATACGTGGTTTTTAACAGGGAGGAAAATAAAAATGCGCAATTAACTTAATCGAAAATGAATTAACATTTTTGACTCTAAAACATAAATAAATCAAGTCGTAAAAATGCAGTTAGGCTACTCTGCCTCGTAATGTTTGCCTATATAAAATCTAAGCACAGCTATGAAAACCGTATCTTTCATATTATGTACACCTGTTATAAGCCCGTTTTATTACGCTTCAACTTGGAGTCAAGCAGTCTGCGAATCGAGGTTGTTCTCACACGGAAAATCCGATTTCTCCTAACTCAATTAACGTTGCGTATAGCTACGTAATGGAAATATAAACCAAGTAAATGTCAAATAATAAACGGGTCGTGGGTTAGATCCCGACTGGGTCCAACGTTTTTCTAATCAATTTATAATGTTTCTAAAAGTTTCTCTGGATATTAAATGGATGGTAGCAAAATTGAAATTCTGTCCGTATTACGAACCACCGTCCACAGATGGAAACCCCGTCTAGTTTAATCGCCTTATAGTAGTGGTTTTCCGAATATCCAAAGCCAAAATATATGGCTGGATTTCACTTACCATCAAGTGATACCCTATGCTTGTCCTATTATATCATAAAAATTATGTTCAATATCTTTTATTATAATTATTCACATCATATTTAAGTATAGGTATTACTTTAATAATTAGCTTTCTGTAGATGCCTTTATAACGAAACATAAGATAATTGAATCAAAGCGCTCCTTTTGTATATTAAAATAAATTACAATCAACAAGTTAATCTTTGTCGTGATTTCTAAATGGTCAGATAAACGATTAAATATGACTAGATAAGATTAAATCGATTCTACGTAGTCAAATACAAAGATAATTACTTACCTTAGTTTATTGTTGTTAATACAGTGTGCAATTGCAAAATGTATTTTAAAATCATTACTTTTGTTGTTATTTCAAGTATTTTTCAATACTGCGAAGGTATGTGATGTGATTATCGAAAAGTTTCTTTATTCAGTCGCAAAAAGAATATAATAGAAAAGTATCGAAGTTTCAGGTCAGTTAGTATGTTATGCGTGTAGTTTTTCGTCTGTGGACACGGATAGATCATGTTTAACGATCACGAACAGCACTCCGGTTGTTAATTGTATCCATAAATATTGCACAATTATGCGACAAGAATTCAGGGTAATTAATTATACTTATGCAAATATTTACTCAATAATTGAAGAATTGTATTTCTATTTGGGGTAAATTATTCTAGGATCCAGCTGGTTTGATTGCTAGTTTTACGCGAAGCTGTTTAAGTTCGCCAGATTTTCTGAACCACGAAGTCGAAGATCCTACATTCAGAACGTTCTATCGTGCTTGCACCAGAAACAGATGTAATATTGGTAAGTTAACATTAATTAATCTTATTTTATAATGTAAATACTATAACTTCTCAGAATTCTGTACGATACTTAATTATTAATGGAACCAATATTACTACAAAAATAAAAAATTTACAAACAGTAAATAATGCCAATAAAAGAAAAATGGTGTATATTGAAAATAATTAATTTTAGGTAACGGTATACAATCAGTTACGGGAAGTAATTTATCACCAAGACCAGAGAATAATGCAACTAATCTATTGGTGCCCGGAACAGGCAGTTCTTGGAGAGCAAAATCTACTGTTTCATTAGTATTATTTTCATGTTTTGGTCTTTACATGATTCTGCAATGAGAAAACATAAATCATTTTTATCCGTTTGTAAAACAAAAGTATTTTTTATTCATGCTGATAATATATTTTTTTATAAATTCGCGTTTGAGTAATTATGTTTTAGTGTACGGTTGCCCTAAATGACATTTAATTGTAGGCATTGTAGGAGTCTATTGTCAAACATACATTACCATAGCTACAATGTTTGTACACTTTGAAACTAATTAATACTATCAACGATTCATTACAATCAATAAACATTCTTGAAGTTGAATTTTTATTACTTTTATTTATTCTAGTCTGGTAAATGAAATGTTTTAGAATATATTTGGCTGTGTGTATCCCTTTTGTTATGACAATTGACATTTCAAGTTTATTGGCATATTTTTCATACCTAAATTGTGTTTTAGGTTATGTTTCCTATATTTAGTAAAAATGTAATTAGTAACACAAATCCATCGAGATTCTGGTCTTATACCAAACATGACAACCTCGCCCACGAAAGCAAAACAAAAGTTATCTTTGCGAAAGAGGTTATTTGTGAAAAAATCGCCAAAAGTTGGTTGCTATGTAGATACAGATTCTAATGATGAATTCAGTCAGTCACCATCCCGCCCTATGTCCCCAGCTGATCCCTTTATAGCACAAAGTGCCCATAATACTGACTCAAATGCAGAACATTCAAGAAGTTGTAAGAACGATACTGAAGCTACTACCAGTGAGGACCATCAAAACATAGACAATCATGATGATGAAAAGAATTCAAAATGCTGTAAAAAGTTCTTCAGAAGATCGCGTCCGAAAAGTCTAGTCGAGGGCCATTCTTTAAAAGACGAATCACATTCGAGACCTGAAAGTCCTGTTAATTCTAGCAATAGTTTAAGCGATCATACACTATCCTTCACAAAAAGTGAGGAAATTCCAAAAGCTACGGTGTGTTTCCCGAAAAGCGACGATTCCAAAAAAAGTTTTGAACACTCAGGTTCTTTTGAAGGTATCAAGCCAAAGAGTAAGTTGTTTGTTAAACGGCTATCAGCCGATCATTTGATATCTACTGAGACTAAACCTCTGTACCACTCGTCTTCACCCGAGAGTGATAGGAGCAGTTCACTAGACCGTAAACGCAGGTATATACTTAGTTTTCACAATTAAAATATATACTGTTCTTCATCCATATGAAATATTGTCTGTCATTTGTACAGAGCTAAGTCAACAATCACAAGATCATCTCATGCCGGCAGCACTGATAGTTTGGCTCGTAATTCACTGCTTGCTGCACAAGTACTACGACTCATTCCAACGCAGGAGGCAAGGGGCAGGTTTGTTTAAGATCATCTTAAGCTATCAACAAATATTTCTTAAAAACTTATCTTAAATTCAACCTTGAAATAGCCTATCTTCTAATATGGCTATAACTAAATCATCTTATCAAGGTATTCAGTTTTAGTCTAGCAAAGCTCTGAAGACAGGTGTGATGTAAGTGTTTATTATAAATCAAATATAAAATGTTGCATTGTTTAATTTCTTATATTGTAAGCCAGAAATTAGAATGTAGGCAATGTGTTGTATTCTACTATATCTTCCTATATGCTTTAAAATCTGGTAGTCCAAAAATATTCTGTAAATGCTTAAACATAATAATAAGTTAACTTTAGCATGGAGAAATATTTTTTTTTATTTACATATGTTCTTCTTTTCATATTGAACATTTGAAATAGTGCAGCAATAATAATGGCTCAATTGCTAGATCCCTGGGCTGTATGAATAGTAAAGTTGATACATTAAAACATGAAATAATTCATGTTTCATTCAAACCATTAAAATAAAATAAAAATATACTTACAGGAACTACTTGTATGGTAGATTAGCGTCCAATTCACTCCTTGGAACAGCAGAATTGGAGCATGTCTTCCCAGATCGTGAAGTTAAAATATTTGTGGGCACATGGAATATGAATGGACAATCTCCGCCTAGGTAAGTGGAAAAAACTGATTACCTAAAAAGTGCTTAAATGGAGAGATTTCAAGTTTGAGTTTGTCTCACAGACTTATTTACAGGCTAGTAGTTGACCTGATTTTGAAACCCTCCCTGATTCAATTTTTTCATTATTTGTTACCAAGACTTTGGGCACAGGGCCTTAAAGCTTTGTGTAAAAGCAGTGAGCAATAAATGTCTAACCATCGCAAGTTAAATATATATACATATAAAATTTTATGTGTTCAAGGGAACTGGCAGATTTCATATTCCCGGATGAAGTGAAGCATGTTCCAGACATATTTGCAATTGGGACACAGGAATCATATTCGGAGAGAACTGAATGGGAGATAACAATACAGGAGGTGTTGGGACCATCACATTTGTTATTACATTCTTATTACTTAGGTGAGTTGGTTAGGTATATATGTCTCACTTCTTTTTAAGAATGATTCACTGGCATTGAGTGTGAGTGTAAAATTAAAATATATGTATATATATAAAGCTGAAGAGTTTGTTTGAACGCGCTAATCTCAGGAACTAGGGTTCGAATTGAAAAGTTGTTTTAGTGTTGATTAGAGTGTTTATAGAGAAAGGCTGTTCATCATTATGAGTTTCCCAGGCGGACGCAGTGAAAACGGTCAAACCCAAAAAATATGTATGAAAGAATGATTCTTCTTTAAATGATCTCAAAAATCTAAGTCTATCTTATGAGATCGACTTGCAAAAACGAAGGGACGCGACCCACGTCGTGGGTAACAGCTAAGTTTATAAAGATGAAGGGGTTTGAAAATGAAATTGGATAAATAACTATTCTACGCGGACGAAGTCGCGCACAGCTAGTAATGTAATTTAATTATTGCCATATGTATAATTGTATAAGTATTGTACCTATATATTTCACGTTAGGGTCTTATTATCTTGCATATTATTTGTCCAACTCTGAACTTTTTAAACTGTTAGTATAAATAGTCACAGTTTAAAGGAAATTTAAAGAAAAACAATATGATATTGCTTTTGAGTTATACAAATGTTTAACGGACCTTAAGAGAGTAAACTTCCGTTTCAGGTACAATACACTTGACAGTATTTATAAGGAGAGACCTTATATGGTTCTGCTCATTGCCAGAAGACGCCAGCCTGTCCGTCCGTCCAGGAACTGCATTCCGTACGAAGGGAGCTGTGGCTATATCATTCGCGCTGTTCGGCTCCACGTTTCTATTTGTGACCGCCCATTTGACAGCGCATCAGGAGAAAGTCAAGGAAAGACTGTCAGACATTAAGAGGATCATTCGATCCATCGATCTACCGAAGAACCTGCCTTGCCGGCATAGAAGTAAAGGTCAGTTCTTAAAATCAAGTAGTGTTAGTAACTTGTGGTAGCTAGCTAGTAACTAAAATAGGTTGACGGCGTATCTATTTTTTAGATCATTTAAAAAGGAATCATTCTTACATATTTTTTGGGTACCATGAACCGTTTTTGCAGCGTACGCCTCGGAAGCCCATGACGATGATTAATTTTCCATTTTTTTTTCACATTTCTCACTGTATCTTAGCTCCTATTTGTCACAGGACAATGTTATAGCATATAGCCTTCCTCGATAAATTCTGTAGCAAATATAGAAATATATTTTTTTAATCAAACCCGTAGATCCTGAGATTAACGCTTTCAACAAAACAAACAAACTCTTCAGCTTTGTATATTAGTGTAGAGCAGTTTTAGTATGACCATAAATCACTATGTTATTACTAACCTAGGTTCTTTTATGACTGAATTTAAAGCGTATATTTATTACTAAATAAGAAAATAATGCTATCTATATTTTCAGATGTTACAAATAATTTCGACTATGTTTTCTGGTGCGGCGACTTAAACTTCAGGCTTGGAGAGCCCAGAGCGGCAGTACTGAGGTGGATAGAACAAACTCAGGTAGTTATGCAATATTTAAAAAAAAAACAGAATCCAAAGAGAAATATTTTTTTTCTCTCAGCCCATTTTTATATCTTCAGAATTACAATGATTGTACTAATTGAAAAATGGTTTCTTCTATCAACGATTTTTATGTATATAATCTAATAAAACCATGGAAGTCTTTGTTAGAACATGTTAGCGCAATAAATATTCTGCGAATTTAGCGTAATGTGCAATAATTTATCATTAGAGACGTGATCGTAATTCATCGATGTTGATTTATTGCTCATATAAATGTCGTGCTTAATACCTTTTAATTAAACGAGAACTTTGAGGTATGTTTCTACTCAGTTGTATAATAGTTATACCTATATTAATCCTTCTGTTAGAAACATCGGTCAAGACAGAAGTCAGAAGCTCAAAACATTGCAATAGTATGTAATGGTATAATTAAAAAAAATCTGTAGCCTTCTTTTTATTTCAACCGACTTTAAAAGAGGAGTATTCCCATTTCGACCATAACGTCCTTTATTAACTAATTGATGGAAATATATTATTTTTATTTTTGGGAGAATTCAAAGTTATAATATAAATAATTATTTAACCATTATTATTAATTATTTATAATAATACGTACTTTATCCAAAGCAAAGTTATTCATTTTCAATTTTATTCAAATGAACCAGTAGTTTCTGAGATTAGAGCGTTCAAAGAAACTAACTCTTCAGCCTTATATTATTATAGATTTTTTATTTGATGTCGGTTTTATTATTTACCTTTGTTTGGCTCAAAAGGATGCCATTATTTATTTTTTATTATTTAGTAATATATATGAAATGCTAAATAAATAATAATAGATTATTTAATTATATTTTCGTTTCACACAGTTTCCCCTTCCTCCGCATTTACCTCACGGACTATTGCACGCCGATCAGTTGACGGTAGTTTTGGAAGATGGCGCTGCATTTCGTGACTTCAGAGAAGCGCCAATTCGATTTCCACCTACTTACAAGGTTTGTCACATTATTTACACATTAATTGTTTTATAGGCTACATATTTGATAACATCCATTAGAAGAGGGGGTAATTATAGTTTTTCCATGTTTGCTTAGAATTATTCATTGGTACATTAATTTGTAGGATGTTTTGAAATGTTTAATATAACTTTTTAGTACGATCCGGGTAGTCAGAAATTTGATACATCAAGTAAGCAGCGTGCACCAGCATACACAGATAGAATACTTTATAAAGCAAAAAGTATGACGTCTAATTCTTCAGCGCCATTTGCAGGTAAAATTCTATATCTGTGCTTTAGGCACTTCATTGTAATATCCGTTGCGAATCGTGAGATTGAGTCGATATAAAATATGTTTTAATTAATTAACACACTAAACGGTTTTATACTGTAATATTTAAGTTATCTGACTAAATTAAAATATAAAACTTTTTACGGCTTACAACGCGAGTTAATTTTATTCATTATATTTTTCCTCTTTTTGAGGTGTAAAAATAATTAATAAAAGATAACTAAAATAATATTATGCGTTATAAACCGTGTGTTTTATTTAATAACGTTTTTATCATTTCTGTCACTGTCTTTACACACTTAAATTAAAGAGATAAAAAACCGAATGGCTTCTCCCTACAATATTATTACCACACGTTAGTGCGAGTCAGACGTTCTTTCACAAATTTGCGATCCTAAAAGTTTAAATAAAACACTTTAACGGTTTAAAACGCGATATATTAGTTAAACTTATTTGGAAATGATTTTTAACTTCGGCCCGACGTTTCGGATGCTTTGCAGTAGCCGTGGTCACGGGGAGACCGTCTCCGCGCGCAATATATCGCGTTTTAAACCGTTAAAGTGTTTTATGTAAATGTGTACTACTCGCGTAAACTATAGACAGTATTTGATCCTAAAAGTGTTTACTTTGTGTTTCAGGACTTCGCCGTCTAAGCTCTATGCCCGTAACATCTAGTCTAAAGTGTATTGCATACAACTCAGTGCAGTCAATATGCACCAGCGATCACAAACCCGTGTGGGGTTTGTTTTCTGCTGCCCTAAGGCCTGGGACTGATGTGTGAGTATTCTGTTGTGTCCAATACAATATTTTTTCTATGGCTCTTATTTATTAACTAGCGACTCGCCCCGGCCTCGCTCGGGTGCAATGCTGATACTAAATATACTATAGTAAAATTCTGAACATTGCATATAAAAACCTTTCTCCCGAATCACTATATCTATTAAAAACCACATGAAGATCCGTTGCGTAGTTTTAAAGATTGAAGCGTACATAGGGACAGAAAAAGCGACTTTGTATGTTTGTATGTTACTATATAGTGATTAATGATGGTTTATGCAGACTATTAGTTTATTCAAGTTTCAAAGTTCTTAATTGGTCGAAAATCCAGTAATTTATTTCATAACTTGATTTATCATCTTCACAATCACTGGAGAATTACAATAAATTAAAAATTATTTATATTGAGAACATTTGACACGGGAACCACCAACTCGAACCACAACTAACAGTGTACCCGGCCACTGTTAGTCGTGGTTGGTTCGAGTTGGTGTCGCTTTTTTGTTTTTGTACACCGCCTCTCTAGCCAAATGGTTAAAGGTATTGCCTACATGCGTTATGCGCGAGAGGTCCTGCCTCAATCCCAGGGGAACAAAAGAACAGTTGTTCCGGTCGGGTAGGGCACAGAAGTCCGATCGACTACTTGCCTGTTAAAAAGAACGGATTATTGAAACGGACACAGAAATGTGTTCGCCCTTTGGGGGGGGAGTGCCCCACGAGGGGGAAACGGAATTTCACCTTTTTTTTGTATATGTCACAAGATTTTTGGTTTTAAACTGTATTTCTATGTTTGAAAACTTTAATATTTTTTTACATGTTATTATTGCACATGAAGGCACTATATAATTTAAAAATCGAAAATAAATTGAAAAAAATTCTAAACATTTTGACTCAGCGTAGAGCAACAGGCCGGAACGCTGACGATGCCGGTTAAAATCCTGCCCGAGTCGAAAATTTTATCAATTTATTTTCGATTTTTAAATTGTATTTCTATCGTTAGATCTTAAGCTTATTCTTGGTCATCTTTACAGGGTGCCACTTGCAGCTGGTCTGTTTAATCGTGAAGTGTACCTAGAAGGTATAAAGCGCCGGCGGGCCGTACTAGACCACGCGCCTGGGACCTCCGCCGTCTGTACCATACAGTGACTAGGAATTACGTAATTAAAAAAAAAATCTTAAGACATTTGACTTAAGATGCCGTATAGTTACTAACGAGTACAATCGTTGGTAGCTTAGTTATATTTGAAACCTTTAAGACCCTTCTTTCAATAGGTATGAACATTAGGATTTTTATATAACTTATTTATTGGTAATTTTATTCAGTAACAATCTGCCTTTTTGTTTATACTAGTCATTATTTTTATTTTCCCACTAAACTTTGATTAGATTTCATAGAAAGACTACCATATTACAATTGTTCGTATTAGTGACTATATATTATTGATATTTATTGACATACATCTATAGTAGTTGAGGAGATTTATTCGACTATGACTATTAATGAATGATTATTATCAGTCTTAAAATTTTCATTCATTTTTATTATATATATGAATGTATCGACATAATAATTAAATATGATTTATCTAAAGACACTAGGAAATACTTAATGCCGCCTCGGCACGATTTTCTCATAAAGATGGGAATAAAATTAGCTTTAAAACCGACTGCTAATTCGAATACTTACTCTGTATATCTAACATACGAATATATATTTTATACTATAAATGATAGTCGTAATATTTGAGAAACCAATACTGTTTTGGTATTATTGATAACAACGGGTGTTAAATTCAAGTAAACTTAAATTGTATAAGGCTTTCGCGGCCATTTTAAAGTGCCACTTGGGTTTCGAGCTGTTCGATCGTCGTGATTGAGAAAAATTTGTTAAATAAAACACTTTAACCGTTTAAAAGGCGATATGATACGCGCGCCGTGGTCACCGGACGGACGGTAGGCCGAAACATCGAGCCGTAGGTAAAATAAATGCAAATAAGTTTAACTAATATATATCGAGTTTTAAACCGTTAAAGTGTTTTATTTAAATGTGTACTACTCGTGTAAACTACATAAAAATGACAAAAATATTTTTTGTAATTTTTCCATCACCAGTGGCATTAGCAGGAGACAATTAGCAAAAACTGAACTCAGCCTTGGTTTCGTCAAGAACATTATCTCAATCACAACAGCCGTACACCTCGAAAATACAAGTAGCACTAAGTAAACATAATTCAGTATTAAGTAATTTTAAACTACCCACAATGTTTTAATTAGAAACGTATAATTTGCGAGTATTAAGATGCCAAAGGTATTATTATTACTATTCAATATATTATTTAATATTACCAATATTAAAAATCTAGTCAACATACAAGGTTTGTGAAAAACAGTATTCAGACACTAGAGATAGTAATATGAATAACGTTATCATTTAGCGATCTGCGTTGCGTTGCTAATCAATAATTATTATTACTTAGCGTAATATTTTAAATATATGTAAGTATAAACAAAAGTATTAGAGATAGTCATTTACCAAAACAATTCCAGCCGCAAAATTCTTTGGCCGTGATATTGTAGTTTATTTATAGATGTCCTGTTATATTGCACTTTGAGTGTCTAAACGCACTGTTTTATTGTTTATGCTAGTATTGTAAGCTTGTTGGGTTGTGACCGCTGTTTTGTCAAAGGATTTCATTTATTATTAGTTAAGAGCACAAATTCTTAGTTCTATAGCTCCCGATTCATTAATTTTTTGGTATTTTAAAACTTATGCTAATATTCAAATATTTGCACATCATATAATTATTATACAAGTATTGTATTTGAAACAGTAATTATTTAATATGTTTAAAATCTAGTTAAACTTTTATTAGTCTGTGGTTTATAATTGTATAGACAATGATGAAATATGCTTTGTTTAATTATATAGTTAACAAGTACTTAATACATACAATAGCAGTAATACACATTAGCAGTTTGTTATAAAGCAATGGCTTTTGTTTTAAATTACTTTTATGTTAAACATATTTTAATTTTTTTAAGCAATTTAATAATCAATATTTTTTATAATTTTAAGACACATTTAGTTTTAAACTATAGTTAACATTCTAGTCTGTTTCATTCCAAATATTATTATTATTAGGTAGATGGGACCTTAACTGAAATATATATTTAATATAATTAGTATTATTGTTATTATTTAGATTGCATAGGAACGTAGATTAGCCTGTCATTATTTTTTAATAGTGTCGTGAAAATGCTGTTTACCCATATTACATACATGCCTTCAATGCATACTTATTTGTTGGTACTGGCAATCTATAACCATAGACAAGAAAGCGCCTTTCTTTGGTTTGTTCTTTTTATCTGTGCTTTTGGCTATTTAAAGCCTTAGTTTTTTTTTAATTTGACAACGGCCAGTAATAACTGTACCATTAAGCGGTCTTTAAAATAGACAACAAATGACGTCATATATAAAGCCAATGAAATGTCAATTAACACTTTCAATACGTATACTGAATACTGTAATTTTTATCAAAGTATTGAGCCAGGTCCATTTATACAAAAATGTAATCTGCAATTCTTATAATCTTTTCGTAAACTTAATTCATTGAAATTTAGTAAATGTTTAAGAAAATTTGAAGGGTATTTAAAAGTGTAGTGATGTTAGTATTAGCAAAATAAATGGACCAAATGAGTCCGTAAGTCCGATCTTATTAGATATACTTTGAGTTTGGGTATTTGAGAACGACGTAGATTAAAACTATTCTAACTTAAAATTTCTAACATGTAAATATGTTACGCTAAAGATTGTCGACCTTCTTTTTACCAGACTGTAATAGATAAGTCATTATTATATAATAATAATGTAATATGTTGTTCCTTTCTACCGCTTAAATCTTTTAAGAGTTATACACATTTTGTTTGAAAAATAGTTTCAGATAGAAAAAAAAGTTTAGTGTACCGAAAAAACAAATTGTGTGTCACATATAGACAACATTTTAGTATAGCACGTCAGAAAGTTTATCACATTATTTCAAATACCCAAACACGTTCCAAGTTAGACGATCGCAGATTAAAAGACCACGGTCATCATTAGGTACTTGGAAAGATTTGTAATCTTTTAGACGTGTTCGGTATTATAGTTATAGACTTATTGGATGTCAATTTTATAAACAACACTATTCCCAATCTTCATCGAAGTGGTCATATGTCAGTCTGTCTTCCATTATATTAATAACCTAAAAGTCCGAAGCAAATTTGCTGTATATAATTTTTTATGCTCGCCTTTACAAGATTACTTTTATTTATTTATTTCGTGTATAATTTTTCCAATTCCACCCTCACTAACCAAACTGTAATTCTCTACACCTCAAAACAATTTGTTTAAAATAAATTTGGAAATATCTACTATTAAGTGTTAACTCAAAGCTATATAAATTACCCACATAGCTTAATTTATCAACTACCCACGTAATTTCAATTGACGCTTTCATGTTTTTTTCTAATCATAATCATTGATAATGACATAGTTAGCTATATCAAACAGAAGAATATATTTTCAAATATATGTACCATTGTAACATATTTTGTAAGTAATGTTGTGCGCATACTAGTCCATGATTATATATAATATTTCAATGAAATGTTAAGCTGAAATAAACTTTTGATGCTACGAATACTGTGTTTTACTTGACCCTCTAAGACGGTGCTAGAAAGATAAAGGCATGTAGTGTGTAGCTTGCTTTATATGTCACTGCTTCATACATTATTGTCATTAATACACGAATTATGGTTTTAATCGACTTCGGATTTTTTAATACCTATTGTTTGTAGTTTATGTGCGTAGAACACATTTAAATAACATTTAGTTTAATTATTTTACCTAACACGTGTAGGTTTCCATATAATTTGTGTTTAATTTGTTTTGTTGATTTCTATATATCATTTAATTTTATTAGATTGCGAAGAGTGGAACTAAAGAAATAATAGAGAAACAAAATGAATGATTTATTGTTTCGGTACAACATTATTATAATGCCATTCCACACAAGCTTGCCCTTTGTTATCGTCAACAGTGACGTCACACCATTTTTCATAGAATTTAGCCTCTTTATCTTTGCCGATATAAAACGTAACCTCATCCTTTGATATTACTTTCACAGTATGCGAAACCCCGTCTGAAAGAAATTAAATCCCATAAAAACACAACCTAAGTAGGTATACCTAGTAATTACGACCGAATAGGCAACAGGTTAATCATGATTAAAATAACGAAGTTTTAGAACTTGAATTATATATCTAGGTATTAAATTTATATACTGCCATCAATGTGAAATATATTAAAGCTTTATATTTAAATGTGTTTGCCTCTGAAAAAAAAACAGATTTGACACATGAAAATTATTGCTCTACAAAGATATGTTAAGAAATGGAATAGCTTACTTTCGTTAATCTATAGATGTTGACTAACCTGCTTCAAAAGTAAAGCCATAATCGTTGGGAAGTGTTTGATTCTCTCCATGTTGGTACAAATGAAAGTCGCAAGCGTCGATCGCTGTGACACTTTGATCTGCTTTACGACAGTAGTATCCGATTGTTAGACTGAAATGGAATATGCTCATTCATTACACACAATAATCCTATCCATTAACAAAAAGTTTTCTTAAAATAAAAGAAGAGCTTTGTATTATTTCTTTCAGCTTTTTTTTTTTAAGAAACAAGATTTTTGTTGGTAAATATGATTTTATAAAATAAAGGCGTTGATTAATAGGAGTGAAGACACAGAGGCAAATGTGAAAGAAACGGGGAAAACAATATTAGTTTCATTACAAATTTTGAAAGAAATGAAATTAAAGTTCCCAAATAGTGTTTCACTATAGAAGGAAAGGGGGTTTGTTGTCTTTGTCTGTTTAATTACAAATATTATTATTAAGCATAATATAAAAGAGAGGAAGAACAACTAACTGTGATAAAATCGTAGGTTGTGATACACTTCCAACAGCAACAAAGTCTCCGTTATCAAGAAATATGAAATGGTACACGTAACGATGGAAGTTGCGCCACTCTCGAAGAGTTCGTGGAGAAAAAAGATATATAAAAAACGTAATTAATAAAATACTGTCTATAGTTTACGCGAGTAGTACACATTTAAATAAAACACTTTAACGGTTTAAAACGTGATATATTAGTTAAACTTATTTGAAAATTATTTTTAACTTCGGCCCCCCCCCCGACGTTTCGAGATGCCTCTGCAGCAGCCGAAACGCCGAGCTTGCCTTGTTAAACTTATTTGAAAAATAATTTTGAAATAAGATGAAAAAAACGTTTAAACGTAATTAATAATTAAAACGGGGATTTTATTGTTATAAATTCGTTGTATTCATCCAGAGCGTCTGCTGCTGTAATACCAAAATTTGATCAAAGTCGTTCATGCCGTTTAGGCAAACTACAAACTTCTCATGTATGTTAGCGTAGGTATTATACAGCAAATTGTCTGTTACTGTATAAAATGGCGGAATGTTGGCACGACGTTTTTTTACAAATGTGTATGGATGAGCAAAACATCTTACCAAAACTGCGATCTCTAACACACGGCATGTTTATTTCGTACTCTGTCCCATCAATGCAAACACTACCGGCTATGTTTCCCATTTGTTCATAATGTGTTTGATGAAATCTAAAATGTAAACATTTACATTACAATTCCAGTGGAATATAATGCGAAATTATCGAATTTGAACATGGAAATGCACATAAAAGCAAATATCGGCTCTGTCCTAGTTTTAAAGGTTAAGTAAAATTCAAATTCAAACAGTTTAATCCACACCAAAGAATGTACATGCAGAAATTATACAATTATATAAGAAAATACAAAAATGGTTACTATTATCACATAGACTAACTTTTCTGGGTAAGAATATCACTCAGCTGTTGCTGCAGCAACAGATTTGTTGCAGCGCCGATTTTCAGTTATGCCATGGTGACACTTAGAGTCACAGCCAGAAATAATGAGTTTAATGTTTAAGTAAAACACTTTAACGGTTTAAAACCAAAAATATATAGTTTAAATAGTTTTCGAATAAAATTAACTAATATACTTATTTCGCGTTTTAAATCGTTAAAGTGTTTTATTTTTTGAAAGAAGAAAAAAAACTACTCACTTCTTCAGCAGTTTAAAATAATCCGTCGACCACGGTTCTCTCGCCATATCGTTGGCCATACTTTTGGCGGACATTTGTGTGTCGTATTCAAACGGGTTCCAGAGAGCGCTCCACGTTAAATTCGCTTCTACTTTAATCTTCCTATTATCATCAGTACGAGGTCTGTAATATATTTTATATTATCAATAGGGTCTTTATAAGCGAGGAGCATATGAAAAATTTCATTAAAATCGGTCGAGCAGTTTAGGCACAGTCACACTTTTTTATCATTAAAAAGCTAACACTAAAGAGCTAATTATAATTATATTAGCTTGATTCGGTAATTAGGTTAGTCGAGCTATAGTTTTAACCTTCCATTGGAAAAAACATGAAAAAATATTATTATATGAACATTTATCAAGCTGTTTTAGTAGAACCGATACCAAATATTTTTTTAAACCGTGAAATGCGGAAAATAGCACGTCACCAATAGCAGTAAAAATCGAATTACATTTTTATATGTTCAATTCGTTAATAATACCCTATATAACCATACCTAATCATCATACTGTTCTAAGGTTAATAAGTAGTTGAGAGGATAGAGAGAGGATCATACTTCATTTCTCCATAATATGTCAGTTTCCAAGTCCGCATTGGAATGAAGTTCGTTACAGATAAACCCTGAACATCATGCCCCTCTTCATCTTCACTCGACTTCTTCAAACATGTTTCCGGTAGACTTGGTGTTAAAAAGACATCTTTCCCGTTGATCTAAAAACGGATATATATAGTAAGTATTAAGGCAACCAAATACTTGACTTCTAGTATTTTTTGTTCGATTATATCTAAATTTCCCTTTGAAAAAACTTATGGAGGATAGTTTATTCAACGAGTTCCAAAAATAACAACACAATTGCTGTGTTAAGAACTGTAGTATAGCTTAGGAAGACCACGTTTAAATAAAACACATTTTTCCCGTGACCGCGGCTGCTGCAGAGCATCCAAAACGTCGGGCCATAGTTAAAATAATTCGTAAATATTTAACTTTTAATATTTTGCTCTGCTATATTACTATATATCTTTATAATAAATAATTCCAACCTTCAAGAACAAGAAAGCGTCGCAAGTTCTCCTCGGTCTCCTAGCCAAGCCACATATAAGGGCATCGCCGCTGCTAGACATTCCATTGAAGTAGACTCCATCTACGGACTATGTTACATTCATTCGATTGTGGCGCAATGCTGATAATACTTTAAATTATATAGGTAGATACTACAGAGAATGTTTGTAACTTTTTTGCTGCAACGACTTGACAGGTATTGGAGAAATTTCGTGTTGCATTTGCAAATACCCTGGAATCAGTAGCGGATTTACAATTTTTTTAAGGCTTATGCCAAGTCAGCCTACGCGTAAATCCGCTACTACCTACTTAGATATATATCTAACAAGAAATTTTTGACGGCTTCGTTGATTTAATGGTAACAATGTACCTATAGCTTATATATCGTGGGATCATTTTACTGAGCAATTTTAAATTTTCTAAAAACATGGGGGATTTCGTCGGGAAATGGGGATTTTAAAGGGGGGGGAGGAATTCCAAATTTCCCGGGGGAAACCCCCCCCCCCCCCAAAAGACGATAGCGCATCTAGTTTTGATATTATATTGCCGGAGTATTTTACCTACCATCAAGTAAATCCTATGCTTACCTCCTCTATCACTAAAAAGTTATGTCAATGTTACTTTCTTTGGTAAAAAATATTAATTTTTAATATCACACATTTAAATATAAATTTTTAATACATAAAACATAATTTTATACTCCACCTTAGGATGATCTCCAAGATCATAAAGCTTCTCAAGGTTTACGTGGTGATCTGGTACATGAGTTTCGCCATCATTCTGTCCTAATTCCACAGCGAAGAGCCGATGTAGATAAACTTTTAACTACAATTTAAGATATAATACATTAAGGTTAATCGTGATAAGAGCAGTTTATCTACTGGCGTATATTTTTACATATTAAACTACTGTCACTACTGTTAAGTTTTTAAGAAGTAACTTCGCGTTCTAAGTAAATTTAAAATTACAGAAAGAAGAAGTTATTTTTAGTTAACATTTAAAACTCTTAATAAAATAATTAATTACCTGTCTTAGCTTTAGTATTATATACATCGTAAAAAATTTCAACCAGTACATTTTATTTCTCTGCTGGTATATTCCGAAAATTGGCGATCTGTATTTCGCATTTAGTAAGTTGAAAATTAATAAACCCCCGATTAGAAATAATGTTATAATTGTCAACATTTTGAAACACTGTCTAATTGTACAAACTTTAAATTGTTACTGATAAAAAATTAACTGTAACATTGTTATCTAATCGTTCTTGAATGGAAGTGAACTTTTCACATTGATTAATGTGCAATGTTTCTAACCATGTACCGGATATTAGAAGTATTTTATATACACAGTGCAATATTATTATTTTTTTTGTAAAATAAGTTAAGCTTGATATTACAATTAAACAATTACGTATATATTTTTTGATACAGGCAGACAGCCATATACCATCAAAAAGATACGCCGTCGATCATTTTTGATTTTGAATATTAGGAAATCCGAAATACGGAAAATTTCACCTAAAACTCCTTTGACATCCCATATAGACTAAATAAGTGCAGCGTTATAACTTTAAGGTAATGTAAGACAGATAAAAACAACAATTTTTATTATATGAAATATTTATTTACTAATCTTACACGATAGAATTTTAAAATATAATGAATGAACTCCTTTAAATGTTGTTTTATTCGGCGGTGGCTAGCAAATGTTTGTGGACGCATTCCTCCTTGTTGATCAAGTGCGTAGTTTTGTTTACGAGTTGCATCAAAGTGTTGAGGTTTGAGGACCATTCGTTCAGTCGCTCAGATGAATCCATATTCAGTCTGAAATACATAGGGTGGTATTTTTTAACTTATCGTAGTAGAAAATAGCAAAGAGATTTTATTAATTTTTGAGTGGATTTTTTTTTTCTTAAGAGGGAAAACACAAGTGATTTTTTTTTTAGTAGCTACTTACTCATAGTACAATAATAGTGCAACTATGATGTGTATGTGTCTGTGTAATGTACGCCATTTTGTTATCCCTCTTCCCATATGAAACTACCCTCCCCTTTTTAGCTTTATAGAAAACCTATTCAATAAGATCGTTATTAAATTTCAAAATAATAAACATAAAAACTATTTGTATATATATACCTAAAGTGCACCACGCCCGCTGGCCGATCGATTTTGGCACGCACAACGCTGCCGACGACCAGTTGACTCAGGGCATCTTCTGTCTCTGTCACGCTCAGGCCGAGCAACTCGCTCATACGTTGCAGAGTGATGCGTGTGTAGTACATTGACATTATGCGGATGTTCTGGGAAAAAAAAGATTTGTTACTAAAATGTTTTAAGATTATTTCATGACATGGTTAAGAAATATGGGACTATAACTGAAGGTTTGTTGTTAAAAATACTTAACCACGCACATAAAACATATATGTGCGTAGTTTTTTTAATGTTTCTAATCTCGTTTTTTCTGCAAAGGCTAAAAGGAGTAGGATATTTTTGAGTTTGTTTTGTTGATAAAAAAAAATTATGGGCAAGTGGTTGGTCACATTTTTGTACTCTTGACTGATCTATTTATTATTATGTTTCCCAAGAACGGAACTCAGAATCTATTAAGCGACGGACAAAGATAGAAGAAGTACAATGATGTACATCTAGAAAACCTTTTTTTTTTGTTAAAGAATTAAAATTTTCTTTATACAGTTTAGTTTGCAGGCAATTTCATGCTTAGTGTTGGACATTTTAAAGCACAGACATAATCTACTAAATAACATTATTATCAGATGAGTTCTGCCACTATATTCTGTAGATACTAAAACTAATCATTCCTTATACAATTTTAAAACATTCCTTTAGTGTATATTATGATAAAAGAATTATTATTAATGTAACATACGTGTTCCACCACCCTGGTTTTAAGGTCGCCCCAGCGCTCTTGACCCTTCTCATCATTTGCGTCGAAGAAAGGTGTCAATCGTAGAGTTTTCTCGTAAGTGGAACAGAGCGTATTCCATCTGATGATTTCAGGGTTTATAAATAGACCCAGTAGTTGCCTGAAAAAATATAGTTTAGTGATTTATGTTTACTTAGTTATTATAAGTGGATGAAGCTTCCTTGCTTCATAGTAACTAGTACTTATTTTTTTCTACGGAAAAAAAGGGGGGGGGGAACATTTAATTGATGGAAGATGAAATAAACTAGCCATAAAGCATCTCAACAAGGAAAACATACTTATATTCAGGCAGCTTTTCCAAATCCTTATCCTCATTGAGTCTGTGGGTTAAATCAGCTTGCTCATTGTCATAAGGCGCGAGGATGAGAAATACAACACTTCCAATTAGAGCGTCATTTCCGCCAGCTGTACCTAACGCCCGGAAGTGACGACAGACAGATAAGTATGCTCCATTATGCTGGTCTACAGCTATCATTATTCGATAGAATTTTTCTTTAAGCTCCTGCAAAAAATGTAGAGATGCGAAAATTATATATTTATAGTTTATTAATCTCACATTAATAAGACTCTATTCATGTAAGCAATTTTCTCATAGGAAACCTGAATAAAGATAAATTACATAGCATTAATAAAGTAATTTAGATAGAATAGTATATAATTTATGAGTTAAAAAACATTACATACCAATGTGTTTTCTTCTTCAAAGAATTTAGTGTTAATCTTTTTGGAAATTATCTGTGTACGAATGTAATCCTTGATTGCCAGGCAAAGCCGCATTTGCTCCAGAATTAATTCAACTTTCTCCCTCTTGTCCATTGAACCATAAGTCTCTACCTGAAAAAAATTGAACATTAACATGTCATATGTTTAAAAAAAAATCTTAATTTAAACCCATCAGACACCTAATAACTTAATATATGTCACTATAAATTCAACACAGTTTCTTCAAATTAATTAACAACATTACAAATATTTCAAAGACAGTTGTAATTTTAAATCCGCCACTCTACAAAAAGGTTTCAAAATATTGCAGGAAGAATTAGTTTTATAATAATTCCTATAAAAGTTGATATACTTATTGTTAACAAAACAATAATATGTAAAAAATACCTGCAATTCTTGTATAATCTTAGCCGCCTCAGCAACATTCTTCTCCTCTTCACGTATCATGGCAAGGATATGAGTTAGACGTGCCCTTTCAACTTCCACATAAATTTTACCTTCAGTAATTGTTCTTAGGGTCTCAATGAGTTTAATTTTGGTTTCTTTATCTGGAGTTTTGTTGACATAGGTGTAACACTCCTGTACCATCTTCACAACTGCCAGCTTAAGCTGCGATCTACATTATTTAAAGAAAAATCATTACTAATAAATTCCATATCACTACTGTAATGTTAACTCCATGCAGAACTGAAATGCACACACAGTTTTATTTATAAGTATTCTTTTGTATAAAAAAATTTACCTTCTCTTTGAAAGTAACACAATATGGTCATTAAGAGCTGTCCAGTTCTTAGCTTCATAACATATTTGAACAATAGTTACAAGAATTCTTGCTGTTGAAGCCATATCTGCAACCTATAAAAAAAGAAGTAATCACTTGAGCATTGGTTATACTAAGTATAGTGTATTTTTTCTTACTTGGCATTTTTTGTAAACAAACATGCAATTTTCATGAAATTGTGATTTTTGTTATTGAGGCTGTTTGATCCATACATAATAGAATCATTTAACTCTGTGTCATCTGTGGCAACTGCTACACTCTATAAAAAGGACTTCACAGTTGAATTTGTTATCGGCCATATTTGTTGTGGTTTTTTTGCCAAATTAGAAAACCCACACTATAGTGTACATATAAAGAAAGCTAGCACCCATACCGTTCTGGTTTGTTTTTCAAGAGCCAACAGCTGATCTATGGCTTCCTGGACTCTGCCACTCGCAGCCCAGGACTTCCATAACGGGATTTTTTCATCACAAGTTTCACTATAGTCCACCTGTAATTATGATGTTACTATGAGGATTCATTTAAAAATATCTCAAGCGTTTCTTAACAGAAGTTAACACAGTTTTATTTAAGGTAACTCACAAAAAGCTTAAAATGAGGCTTTATATGCCCCCAAAGTAAGCGAACCTACTCTACAACGAATAAATTTCTAAGTGTAAACAATACGTCTTTATTATATTGTTAGTAACTTACTTCCATTTTGATAATTTTGCCACCGTCAGTAGTCATTTTGTGTATATATCTGCAAAAATACGAAGTAGTAAAGAATCTTCAGAAACTCTGATTGATGAATGTACGCCAATGGTGACTAGACACTTACTTTTACAAAATGTAACTTCAAACGTACAATATGGGTTTCGGCGTTTAAGAGTTTTCTAATGTTTAATCCAATACGGCTCGTATTTTTTTAAATATACTTGTAATATTTGTAAATTCCTATGGTTATAAATGCAAGCTCACTCTTTGTGACAATCTACATTCTACACTTCATATCGATGAATTCGCTTTCTGTCACTGGCTGCTAACCGATGACGTTTAGGGATTTTTAATTAAGTCTATTACGTGTTATAATCTGTAACAAATCTTGTGATAAATTATTTATGAAACCTGTTAAACTGTTATGTTTTATCTGTGCACAATTATTGTAGAAATGGCGTAGATGTGTTGATTTGTTTTTACATATTGTAAATAATTGTGATATTTATTAGACGCAAATCTATTTGATTTAAGCATTTCTTATAGACATTGAAGTACTTAATAATTTATTTGTGTAATGTGTGGTCGCATCTATCCGAAATAAGGATAGCCTACTTTCCACCGTGATTTCTACGAAGTATATAAGAGAAGAAATACTTATTTGTTATCAAAGTGGATCATGTTGCGAACAATGAGTTTAGTAAGAGAAGACTTGGATGCATTGTCTAAAAGCACTACGCTACGTAGTCATTCTGCTCAAGGTCTGAGCGACAACTTAAGTCCTTCCGCAAATATCCCGTTGCCACCTCGTTTATGGATTACAGGTATTATTATGCAACGAACATATGTTTAAATTTGATATATCGGTTATGTAAATCTTATATACCTTTATCTTATACAAGGCATTTCATTTTAGTATTATAATCCCATCTTTTGTTTAGATATAGAAGACGAGTCTTCCGATGACATGAGCAGCGTAAGAGATGACGAGTCCTTTCCAGTCGAGAGGTCTAGAGTTAGATCTCGTTATAGACATCACAAACGTGCAGCATCTAATAGTATACCCATAGGCATTTTTTGGGATATTGAAAACTGCCAGGTAAAGAGCTTTTTTTAACTACTAGAACGATCATAGCTCCGTCCTTGCAATAAAATTACTTATGTTTAACATTGTTAACAATTGTAAAAATTTATTATTTGATATGCGGTCTTGTGTATAATATGACAAATACTAATCAGTTACAAAAATTATAGGTGCCTCGTGGTTGTTCAGCAATAGATGTGGTAGCTGCAATTCGAGCCAAATTCCTAGTTGGAAGACGAGAAGCAGATTTTGTGGTTGTGTGTGATGTGAGGAAAGAAATGCCAAATAGACTTCAAGAACTTAATGATTCTCAAGTAAGTAATGATTGGTGAATTGCTCATATATAATTCAAACTTCACTTAAAGAAGAACAAGGTATAAAAATATACTTTGAACTCATTAAAACTATATTAGCAATATCAGTTTTTAAAAAACAAACCACATAATTGTGGTTATACCCAATTACTGTTCCTAATTGTATGATTTAAATAGGTCAGCCTAATTCATGTATGTGGAACTCAAAAGAATGCAGCTGATGAAAAATTAAGGCAATGTATGAGAAGATTTGGAGAGTTGCATCCAGCTCCTGCTTCATTATTGTTAATATCTGGGGATATTAACTTTGCAGCCGATCTCAGTGACTTTAGACATAGGTCAGTACTATTTTTAATCACTCCTGAAAATCGCTTAATCATTCCCTATTAATTGCTTGGACTTCTATGTTTATGCAATTATCCATTGAAGCTAGTTTCTCTATCATATATCTCTTAATCTAAAAGAAAAGTTACTGTTTTTATGATTATATTCTCAACTCAAAAATGTTAATGCATAGAGTGTTTAAGGTTGGCTAAGAAGAAAACTTATTTTCATGTAGCATCATACATATTAAGCCAGTTGGTTTAAATTTAATTCCTTAAGTATGAAATAAAATATATTTAAGTTAAGACATATTTGAAAGAGGAGTTATCTGCAGATGTTATATTTACATTATTAAGTATGTACTGGTCATTAGGAAAAATATGGAAGTGATATTGGTGCATAAACAGAACACCTCAACAGCGTTAATTACGTGTGCCTCCTCGCACTTTTGTTATAACGAACTGACTGCACACCTTCCAAGGAACCCTAAGGTACTTCTAAATCAATATTGTGTTGTTTATTTTTAATATATACCCCATGGTGTAAATTATATTTGTTTTGTTATTCTATTATTTCTATTTTGATAAATTCAACATCTATTTATTGACTTTACCGTGAGTTCCTTTTATCACTGATATTGACTGTTATTTTAAATAATTTATTACATACTATAACAAGTAGAATTAAAATATTCTGAAAATATAGATAAGTCAAACCGAAGAAGATGAGCCAACATGTGAGATGGAAGTGGTCAATTTGCCAGTCGACCAACCACCAGAGAGAGTGTCAAGACGCCTCCGAAGGCTGGCTGATAATTGTGGAGGAAAAGTTTTAAGAGTTACAGCATCTACAGCAATGATGAAATTTCCTACACCAGACCATGCTTCTAGGTAAGTTGAACAATTTGATTGCTATTCTAAACAGAAAATGTAATATAATGATTTAAATTACCAACTTAAATATCATTGAATTCTAAGATCTTATTGTGTATTTTTAACAAGGCATTATATACAATTGACAGAAATGTAATCTATCTATGTGTATTTATTTTTGCATAAAAATCAGCTGATTTAATTGAAAAACAATGTATGAGGGTAGAATTAACTGAACTTCGAGTCACGTACACAATTAGGCCTAGTGTACACAAGACCTGTATTAAAAACCGAATCCATGGTATTATGTTCACTAATTTTCATTTTTTTTTAGTTTTATGAATGTCCGAATTATATTGAGGCTATATAATAATGTAAATATTTATTTGTTTTTGCACGTGTAAAAGATTTTTAAATGATTGATGTTTCATACTGTGTAGACAAGACCTTACGGTATAATGTTTTGTGTCTACCTCCAATTGTCGTAATTTTATTAGTCAAAAGCATAAACGTCATCTCTGCCATTGCAATAGAGGGCACCGGCACGGACATAAAACATTAGTTGAATTTATTTTATTTATTGATTATTTATAGTTTTAGTTATTATTTTTTGATTTTAAAGTAATTAATGTTGAACGGTGTATTAAGATAAAAATGCTGCTTAGCGGGTGAGTATTTTTAAACTTTTTATGTGTTGCGTGTAAGGCAACTACATTACGAATACTAAATCTATTTTTCGAGAACTTAAATCTTATTTTTCGTCAATTAAATACTCTTGAAAAGTATTTTATGGTAGAGTGAGTTGAATATCATCTTCTAGATAACAAAAGAATGATAAATGCATTTTTTTTTGATTGTGCAGTTAAGTTTCAATGAATTTCTCATTAGTGATTGAGTAGTTTTATAATAATTTTAATTTATTTATTTGTGTAATGATGATACAAATTAAACTTTATAAGAAGTCATCAAAACGTTTTTTAATTGAGTCATCAAGTAACGGATTTCTATAGTCCACGTTGCATCATTCAGCGATACTAGCTTTATAACTTTTATTATGAAAAAGTCCATTCAAACTATATTGTCTTTAGTATACATACATTATATATGCTTACAAAAATCTAGTTACGACATCTTAAAATATTAGTAAATGTATGTAATTTGCAAGGCAACTGAAAATTTCGTTACACAAAGTAAATTTGTTATTTTTTTATTGTATTATTGCTTAGCCGGAAACAGCAATACGCTTGTAGATTTATACTGGCTTTAAGGTCAGGTGAGGAAGCAGATGTGAATAAATTCAGGAAAAGGAAACGTTTTTAAGGTCACTCATACTATAATTAAATTTATTTATTGATATCCAATAATATAGCGTCTAATACCAGTAAATAGATTTCAGAAAGTTTTGTTTAAAACCGTTTTAAATCAATGCTTATTTATAGCTTTTGTTTATAATTTTTTTCTATTCTTGTATGGGGTATCTTATAATGTAATCGAAATTTTACCTACCTACTTATTAGAACTCAAGTCGCTTTAGATAAGCGAGTGTTTATATTATTATCTGCTGTCGATATAAAATGCCATCTTGTTTACATCATAAAAATTTGCATGCGTCATTTTTTGATACAGTATAGTGATAATAAAAAGAAAATGGCTGCAGCGGAGTGTTCCATTGTAATTTAGTAATTAAAATCTTGCGTTATCTGTATTTGTCCACATATTGCCTAATCAACTAGTCTGAATCATGGATTTCGCTTGCTTAAATCCAATACGTAACCAATAAGCATTGAAGGTTTGCACTGTACCTTAAAAACGGAAGAATAATACGAACTCATGCGAATCATCGTCGGAATAATAATAAAGAATAAGAAAATGTTATGTATCTTCATTTATTTCTTAATTGAAAGTTATCGGATTAAGCAGTTTGTTATCGCGTTTTAAACCGTTAAAGTTTATTTAAAAAGTACTATATAAATGTGTACGTATAACGCAGACAGTATTTAGGGACATCATAAATTCCTTATAATTTTTCTTCTTATTCTCTTAAGGGAATTACTTTTTATTGTTTCGTTTCTATTTCTAGAGCACTGAAGCGTATGGACGGCGAAGACGTATTCGGCCGTAAGATCGGTACGAGGTACGTTCGCACTACGTTCCAGCCGACGTACTCTAGCGATGAGGGATACAGCACTGCTCCTCCGAATCCACCACCAGTATCCATGCCGCCACCTCCACCACAATTCGCTATGTCTTCACAGGTAATGTAATCTTTTACAACGAAGGGATTCATATGCCGACGACTGTAGTTGGTCATTAGTGACCCGGGCGGAATTTCGATATTCCTTTTACCCATTTAAGGTCCAGATTTCCAGACAGACCAACAGTCTTCAGAAAATTATGATTTGATTTGAATTAATAGCCATACATTAGCAACATTTTACTAAATATTTTTTAATAGTTGTAGTTAGCACATATGTCAAATATAGTAGTTCTCCCATGGCCGCGGTTGTTGCAATGCATTATAATATATTTCGTATTTAGTATGTTTTCAAAAAAACAAGGCCACAGTATTTTCAATAAGAAACTGTAATTTGAACAGGTATCACAAATATCACTGGATAGGGAACGCACTGCCGCAAACGAATGGGCACTAGCGTTACAGCAGCTTCCTGCGCCGGCGCCGGCGCCCATGGAATTCTGCCCACCCCCCGCACCGAAACCCAGAAAGATTAGAGGCAGGCATGGTATGATTACTGTGATACTATAATTATAATACAGAAGTCGCCATTTAAGGGTGAACGAAACAAATACTTCCGGTTATACCTAATCAAGGATTTATTTCCTCTGGTTAATTAAAATTAATTAATTTAGACTTGTTTAAGGTTTTCTCATGCCTCAGTAGGTATGTGTCATTCTATATCGAACTCGGTTTTCGTTTGTAATAAATATAACCTATAAATGTATTTAGTAGAAAAAAGACTAACTGAGCAGTCAGAGCAGCAGCAGCACGCATCGCTTGGCGCGATTTAAGTCCCGCTGATGTAGTATTTTTTTTTCAATTGAATGATATTTTTAATTTATATAATGTCATCATGTACAAATTAAAAATACAATAGATTAGATATGCAGTCAATGGATTTCAAAAGATGCCTAATTAAATTAACGTGTATAGGCTCAGCCAGTCTGGACCAATCGGGTTGCTCGTCGAGCAACTGCAGCGGTGACGACAGCCGTAGAGACCTCAGTCTTAGCCGAGCCGTGTCACCCTGGAATTCCTCAGGCAGCTTCAGCGAGCAGAGTGAGACTGAGGAGAACATCGCAGAGCTCACCGTGGCCAACTTGCCTTCCTATGATACGAAACTCTTGCAGGTATTATTCGCTTTGACAGACCCACAGTAAACTAATGTAGATACAAATATATAAGGAACCAACAAATAGTATAGTTTAGGAGATATAAATGACGTTTTGTTCTTATTTTGAATTTGTATAATGCTATATATATAGTAGTAATATAGTAATTTCATACATAAGGCTTTATCTTAATTTTAATAGTGACGGGTGTCTAGCATGCACCTTTAGTCCCCATCAGTAACTAGTTTGGATATGTTATAACACTAACATATCAAAACTAGTTAATAAAATAAAATCTTTACTCTCCAATGTGAACCTTTTGTGTTTAGTTAAAATGTACTGTTATTATAAGTATTGTTATTACTGCTTATCTGGTGGTACGACTTCTTCTCCCTTTATCGCCATATAATTCAACACAGAGTCGTAATGAAACTCCTCTTACAGGAGATGCTCATCAAGCTGTTCAACCATTACGTTCCCGTAATGCGCGTGTCCGTGTGGTCCGGCGGCGAAGGCCCGATCGCGACCGTCGTCCTGCGCTCGGAGGGCGACGCCCGTCTCGCCATCGCGCGGGTGCACAAGCGCCGCCTCGACAACCAGTGGGCGGGTCGCAGGCTCGACCTCTCACTGGGCAGGCCCTCGCCGGCTCCCAATCTAGACGTGCTTCGCGCCCGTCTCCGCGCCATACTCCTCGAACAGAAGTCTCACGCAATGCCGCTGGTGCGATTACGCGACGCGTACGCGAGCAGGCACTGCTGTGCTCTCACCACCGCTGATATAGCGAAGGTTCGAGACACTGTGGTGATACACGACGGCTTCGGCCGCATGGTCCAGCTGGTCGACTTCTCCCCGGTGACTAGCGTTGAAATGGAGGAGGCTCCGTGGAAGTGTCACATCCACGCCCTTCTCAACACGGGACAAGAGGATGGCAGCAGGATCCTCTTGCCGGTGTTCATGGAGATATCCGTGCTCACTAAGAACATTTGTATGCTGCTCGACAGTCACAATGGTGTTCTGCCGCTGTTAAGGTGGGTTTTACCATTTAACCATAACCTAGCAGATTATAAAATATTTCAGAGGATTATTTGGGTTTGCTTTATTGGTGAGAGATGACATAAAATCATCTGTGGTTTTTTATTTAGCTGTATGGTGTAAAATTTGTACTTAATAAAAAAATGAAACTCAAGAAATCAAGTAGCATGAACTACATGTACCATTCTTTTAATTTTTTTACCTTTCCTAAAACACAATTCGGATTAAATGACGTTATACGTACAAAATTGATACGATATATTATAATATAGTTATGATTGTCATGAAGTGCCAAAAACAAATATTTATTAGTTCTTTAATATTTACTATATTATTTTTTAGTTTTGTTGAGTGTTATGAGGCGATGTTTCCGCCGTTGATGGCTGATTCGCGCCACGGCGTGACCCTGGAACTTCTATTGCGTAGTATCTCCTCGGTCGTTGTCAGGGATAGCCCTTCGCGCCATCTCACTTGGGCTGACCCTGGTACCCTGCCACTGCCATTTGACCGTAAGATTTAAACATATAATATAATTTAATGATCAATAAAATTATCACGCTTCCCATTCTATAGGAAGTTTTATGTTGTATTTATAGCTTTGGACATTCTCGATGGTCCAATGGTATCAACGGGTCGCGGGTTCGATCCCCACCGGGTCCAACATGTTTCTCTTCTGAAACACGTTGGACTTCGTCTGAAAAGCATATTAAGGATATTAAATAAGTGGTAGGAATATTGATCTTCCGTTCGGGTAGCGAACAACCGTCCACAGATGAAAAGGCCGTGAAGTTTAATCGCGTTTCGGTTTCAGTCTGTGGATTTCCAAATATCCAAATGCAAAATAGGATTCACCACCTATCAAGTGAACCGTATGCTTGTCTGTCTTCCTCTACCATGCTTATAGATTTATATAACACACTCTGCTGTTACCGGTTTAACTCCTGCTCGAGTCGTATATTTGTTTTTAATTCTTTTCGATTTTTAATTTATTCTAACTACGGCCTGACGTTTTGGTCGCTTTGCAGCAGCCGTGGTCATGGAGCACAAAATTTGACATATACACAAATTCAACTATTATACTCACGTTTTAAACCGTCAAAAGCGTTTAATTTAAATGTGTACTATTTGGGTTAACTACATACAATGTTTAATGTTTATAGAAGTCAATCCCCGCACCCGCGGGCGTACGGCGCCATCACTAGAGCCAATGTTGGCGTTACTCGAGAAGGAACTCATCGATCTATTAAAAGTGCAGCCTAAATGCTGTATACAATTCAGCAAGTGAGTCTACCAACTTCATATTTACTAATATATGCTTGCAACTGTCTGGGACTATCTTTAATATTGTATTTCTCAGTGATGAAAATGTTTTGGTCAAAACAGACCATCAAAATCATCTTAGTTGTTCTGGAGATTAGTCGCATCTGGACGTCAAACAGAATTGACAACTCAAGTAACGTGATGTTGGAAAACCAAACAAACAAACTGGCGCCGTAACGCGTTACATAAACTTTTAACTTTTTATCAAAGTAATATGTATGCTTGAACAAACTTTTTTATGAATTTGAACATGATCGCATTTTTATTAGGTTGATACCAACATTTCACCATCACTTTGGGCGTCAATGTCGAGTGGCTGATTACGGTTTCACCAAGCTCCCCGACCTTCTAGCCGCGTTGAGCAAATCTATAGTGGTAAGAGAATAATGTGTGCTGGTTAAAAACGCGAAATTTATTAAACTTATTCAAAAATAATTTTAAGTACGGCCCGACTTTGTAAATATGTTTTTTTAATATATTATTATAATACGTTTTAAATTGTTAAAGTAAAAGTTTAAAAAAAATATATTGTGCTTTTTGGTAATAGTATGAGTTAATTATGTTTTTTAATAGGTTCTCGGCTCGGGGTCATATCGAGTCATCACGATTTCCGCTGCCGCTCAACGCCGTCGGTGGACATCCGATCTTTTGAAAATACTGAATGCGCAACCCGGTCATGTGATATATGCCCACCGTCTACCCCAGATTTACCAAGCCACCATGACGAGACCCTTCTCACCGGTTGACTACGGTGTTTGTACTGTTGAAGACTTACTGGAGAGAACGATCCCTGGTTCTGTCGTGTTCGGCGCAGACGGTGCCATTTCTCTCCCGACCCAGTCACCGAGGCAAGAAGATTACTCGCGCATCCTCCAATTCGCTACTCAAGCAGTGGACCTACTGTGCTACACTCCAAACTTCCAAATGGAGTTCTCTCGCTTCGTCCCATCCTTTCATACGCACTATGGGACCCAATTGCGCGTCTCTCACTACGGCTGTGCCAAACTAATTGATCTCTTCGACCAGTTGCCTGACTTGATGACAGTGCAAACTGACCCTTCTGGCGAACGTATTCTCAAACTAGTTCCGAAAATGGCGAGCACCTTGATGGGGCGACGCTTGAAGACCCTTACCCCGGTACCGCTTGCAGCTCTACCAGCGCGTTACGCTTCGCAATACGGAGCGCCGCCCCAACCGGACATGATGGAAGTGACGACGCTTGAAGAGCTGGTTCTAGCAGCGGGCGCTCGTATAGAATGGGGAATCGTGTATTCTGCAACGGATACCGCTAACTGGGTCAATATGGCGCTCACTGCTTGCTCGGTGTTATCGGCTGATCGTAGCGTATCCCGCGGTTCTACGGAGGAATATTTCGTGGCCGCCTTCACGCAACTGCGAGGCTTGGAGCCAGAAGTGAAGAAACTGGAGTCGTCTGGTGTGATCGAAGTGTCGGACCGCTTTGTTCGTTTGTCGGCACTTTGGCGTACCGTCTGGCGCGTTGTGATCATTCTCACTGAACGCCGGCTTCCAATACCAGCTATGGAGGTCTTCCTGGAGTATACAAAACGATATGGACCGTCTTTTCCGAATGCTGAGTTGGGTAAGACCATTTTTTAACACTTGTCTAATGTTTTATGTATAGAGATTTACTGTTAGTTCTAAGTTTTTTTTTTTCAAATATGAAGAAATTGCGACCACAATATACTGTTGGCCACACATGCATTTAACAATAATCTACATCAGCATTTTAAATTAAATGTAAATTAAAATAAACCTGTTATAATAATAAAAACATGTAACACAATAAATCCCATACAAAAGTGTAATAGGAAATCTCTATTTCAGTCAAATTTGGTCTGAAAGTTAGTATGATTTCAGGTTTAGAAGCCGTGGTGGAGTTCCTTCAAGAGCATGACGCTATTTTCAAGACAGTGCCATCTGTGGAGGGAGCGATGTGGCAACTATGTGAGGGTGTCTGCCCACCTCCACTAAGAGAAGTTGCGAAGCGACACTTTGCATCGGAGGATTACTCTATGTACGATACCCCACCCGGTCAAAAGGTAAGATTTATTTCTCTATACTGCTTGGCCAAGGCTGTCAATATCTAAATTTGTTATAAATCTTTTCTTCACTAAAATCCCCCAAAGTTATGTTGGCATTGGCTACATAGGTTTATGAGCTGTTCGGCCGTCGTAATTGAGAGATTTTCGGCGTTTTTGCCATAAATAGAGGGCTTCGTTGTTGTAGGGAAGGCTGAAGTATACAAAATACATAACCCCGGTTTCTTTTCAAAGTTTGTTTTACCTTTCGTCGCCATTTTGTAGTTACTTTTAGTAGGAATTCGAATAAATAGTTTCATTCTTATTCTGTATTCTTTTTTTTTATTTATCTCACAGGGTTCCCGCGTCTTCGATTCTCCACTAAGAAATATTTGGTCTTCGCCCCCCGCTTGCGCTCTACCCTTACCCACTGCTCTGTTGAACGAGGAGAAACGTAAGTAACAAAATACGGATATTGGAAAATACATAAGTGCACAACACAATTTTTATGCATTATAATATCATTAAACAACTATAAATCAGCTCAGTTACTAAGTTGTAAAACACATGGTCTGAAAAATGGAATACTGTCCTCATATAGTCTTGTACATATACTTTGCTGTAAATCGATCGTATTTTTCCTCGCTTTCAGGTCGCACGCGCCTAGCTGCGCAGTTCGACGCAGTCTGATATCTCATTCCCCAAATATTAGTCTAAGATACACATTCCCTCCTCTTCTATGTCAGCGAAGTTTGCATGAGCGCTGTTTCTCACTCCCCACGGTCTTGGCAACGAATTTCACGAAACGGATAATCCTATACGTCTCTGATAATGTGATGTCTATAACAATAATATTTTAGATTGTGTATATTTTTGTGTGTTTACTAAGGTTAAGTAAGGCATTCGCGAGATGTTACAGTGTCGGTACACGTGCAAAGTGTTCAAAACATCCCTCTATCTCTTACGCTACTCTGGAACGTTGAATCGATTTTACTAACTCCACCTACGATTATTGTTTTATATTTTGACATTGACTTATTAATTAGAACTTAAGTATTTTTGTATATACTATCGTTTTAAGTTGAATTTTACCTAACCGACTCTATACATATCTTTTTAAATAATATGCTCAATGTTTTATAATCAGAGAATGAACGAGGAGCATCTGTAACATTTATCGAATGCTCACATAATAAAAGTACAATAATCATACAAACCGTTACTGTTTATTCGTAAGTACATCTTGAGAATATGATATGATCTCGATTATTTCTATAAATGTTTAATTTAAATATTGGCTTTAAATAAGTGACTCGTACGTAGATTTATTCGGTGACTGTTAAATATAACTAATGTTGTTCCCGTTCTCTGTATAGGTAAACACGGTTCGAATTTATAATTTTAGATAAAACTTTATATTTTTTATTGTCAAAGTGTTTATACTATATTTCCTGTTGAATAAGTTTCGTGTGTCTTTAGCCAGGAATTCTTAAGAATTGAGCGTCCAGATGTTTTGTATGTAGTTCACGGTCATGGTACTTATTGCACAAATTAACTATTTATCGTTTATCTTACAGAAGTATTCTTTGCACACCATATCTCACATGAATACAAAATTCACAGGTCATAAACAGATAGCACTGCTAATAGAATTTATCATTCCCATGATCGTAGTCCGGTATTATTAATATAAGAGACGCTTTATTATTGCCACAAATAAAGTCAATTATATAATTATATATTGAAACGTAGAATTTGGCCTTTATGTATTCGTTTTACAAGTATGCTTGTCTGATGTGCAATTTTTATTTTGACATGGATATAAAATCGTTCCACATCATAAACTGAGGAGTGCTTAAACTGTTTAGATTAGTTCATTTTACTTAGTTCTCGCTGAAAAGCGGACTGTCTAATATGTGTTTTAAAACGACAGTCTGTCCCAAAAATCTAGAATTAAGTTGTAAGCTATCATTCTTGAATAGAATTAATTTTTAGTTGTACAGATTGTTATTATACTCTAATGCCAACTGCACTCAAAAGATGTCTTAAGTTTTGACTCACATTAACTTAGCCTAGTTAGTATATTTACTTTTTAAGGGATCAAATATTGTTTTTGTTATGCGTTCTAGTTGTAAATAAATGTGTTTAAAGTAACAATTGTGAATCAAGCCTACAATTTAGTCTGTGATATTGTTTATTGTACCAGCAATTTTTATTGAAGTAAAATGATGTAGCTATGTATAAAATGTACATAGCGTTCGTAATTGCTACATATTATTTATGCATTTATTTACAACATTACTCTCAGTTTAAATGTGGAACGAGTAAAATCAAACAGTATTAGGTTGTTGTAGTTCTTTTGTATGCGGGCGCTTGCCAATGAATTGTTTTTGTTTACACACTGCCAGTTTGCATTTTGGGAGTCTTATTATCCCTGAATTCAGAGTCAAAGATAATAAAACATTTATAATAAAAAAGTACTCGACAGCAATTTTGACTCTGTAGTTGTGGATATAAAAACCTCTGTTTATAATTTATAGTAAAAGCCAATCAGAAGCGATACAATACTATTAGGCGTAAAACGTGTAGTCGAGAATTTTAATTTGTGTTCTCAACAATTTTGAGAAGTTTTATCATCGTGACTCAGCCATTTAGAATTAGTATATGTACCACTTTGTATGAACTTTCTGTAGAGGGAGTTACTCCTAATATATGTAAGCCCATGTTTTTATTTCATGACCAACAATTTTTGAAAGTTAAATGTATCTAGATGGTAAGATTTTCCAAGTACAGTAAGAGAAGATGTTTGTATTTTTTTACATCTTCAAATTCCTGTGATCATTGTTTCTTGTTAGTTTCATCTGTGTATGTGTGGATATCATAGTGCATGATAAAATTTATCTATATTTTTCAACAAAGTGTATTTTATTTATCACCACTTTTAAACACAACCCAATTCTAACAAAGTTTAAAACTGCACTTCATACTCAAAACAATTTATTACTGAGTTGACAATATAATTTCCTACTTAATATTTATTAGCACTTATGTTTTGCTTCTTTTGTTCACTTTGTCTGTTCAGACAGAGGGCCGTGGCGCCTCTCCCAAATCATGCGGTGTTTTTGTTTCATATATGCTTTACGGGCATCACCATATGCTCCCAAGTCACCATCTAAAAAGTTATAAAAACTAACTTAATATTAAGCAGAGTGGCCTCCTAATAAAACGCATGATTATCAATAAGGAAAATAAAAACGCGCATTCAGCATAGGTGAAAATGAATTGTACTATTATTTACTAAAATTTTTTTGTTACACTATAAAAAATATTGCAGTTAGTTCTCTACCTTCAATTAAAAGAAATTACATACATTTTATGAACCAGGCTTCTTCAGCATCCTTATAGCGTTCCCAAAGTGGTTTGCATTTGGTAATATGATCAGGGGCTTCATAGAGCATGCAGTCCTCAAATCTCATACGAATAATGTTCAGGATTTCAGAATCAACCATTCTGGAAACAGAGTCGCGTTTCTTTAACGGAATAATTAGAAACACATTTATTTGTCACAATGATAAATATTGGCAGTGAACCTGTCTCTTTTAAATTGAGCAGTCGCTTCAAAGTCGCAAACAACATCGTCGGAATAGCACTGGTCAATTGTTGGCACGCGACGGAATTGGCGATGATACCAAGGATACTTCTTTTGGTTAGGTTCCACCACTCTTTCTAAAATCCAAAACACACCGTAAGTTTCAATACCTTACATAACACAGGCGACTGACAACAACTTACCTCGAAACCATGTTACTGGCGCGTCTACTGTGTTATACACAGCGTTTATAAAGGCTCTAAAAAGATTATCATCCGGTGCGCCACCTTCAGCAACCATTTTTATATCTTTTTCACGATGAAGTTGAAAAATTGGAATTTATTTCTTGTTGTTCAAACTTAAAAATGTAAATTATTAGTTGTCAAGCTGACAACTGTCAGTGACAGCTCTGTCAGAGTTACCATAGACGTCGGATAAAATTGAAGAGCTGAAAAAATAAATTCTTAGAAGCACATCATGCCTGCTGATTTTTGTCGTTAATAATTATTCAAAGCTTAAGACATTCTTGTCAGGTCATTATATATTATTAAAAAAAAAATTAATCGATGTACGGTAACAAGAAAAAAACACTAAAACATATATATAGTGGTCTTTTTATTTTGTTTTAAGCGGATTAGTATTAAACCAAATATACACATTTCTATAATTAAAAAAAATGGTCAGTCATAATTAAGGATTATTTATTAAAATACATTTGGAATGTAGAATATAATCATTTATACCATTCACGTAACTACGGATGAAATAATACTTTTAAAGATATCTAAGAAAAAAAAAGAAAAAGGAATACTTATTGCAATAATGCCATAGTTTGACAGGATTGCATATACTACAAAAAGCGTCATTGGGTGAATAGCGAGCTTCCCTGGGTTTGAATTCCGGGGAGGCAAAATTTCGTTCACTCGATTAAGTATAAGTATGCATGCATGCATTTTAAAGCTGATCTTGATGCTAACTCTATATTAATCTATAAAAATAATGTCTCATTAAAATCGATATTTCAATTGGTTCACCTTTAAACCTGTATTTTCCGGTTTAATAAATAAAATGCACGTTGTAATGAAAATTAATACCAAATAAAACGTTAGGAAACTACATTTTGTTATTAGTGTTGATCTGCTTATTATTTTTTACGCCAGTGACAAGCTTCTTTCCTTATTTCCTTAGTTAATTATGTCGTTGTTCCTTTGTCATCAGCAGTAAATCGAAAGATTGGTTTTTGAAGTCTAATAAAATATTACATGGGAGAAAAAAACGTACTGTTAGCTTTTTTCAATAATGAATTGTGCAGTTCCTCGTCCGGGCTACGCTTATAAAGGGTTATATGTAAAAAAAAAAGTTTAATTATTTATTAATTCATTAAAATATTGTTTTTTTTTTTAAGAATACACAGTGTAACAAAAATCTATTTCTATTTTATTCTGCAATTGAGTCTGCTTATCTATCTTATTGGAAAACAAACTTGACGAAGAACCGTGGAAATTTAGTATCGGGAATTAGGGTGTCGGAGCAAAACAATGCGAGAGAAGCCCGAATCCTCCCCTCTGTCAACGACTCATTGAACGAGGGCGGGCGGCGCGCATGCTCAGTGCTGTCGACAGTCTGTGTTGCTACAACAAGTGCCAGATGCCTAATTTAATGTGATATTACTCAGAAAATAATATGAATTACAAATTGTATACATTTTTACAATAAACGTTACTACAATTTGTTAAATTTGAAACGGCCGTTAAATCTGGGTTGTGCGTTGTACGCATGTACTGATTTGGCAAGAACTAGTTATATTTAGTCGCATTGACGTCAGAGTGTCGTCATTGGAATAGGGTTGGCTTGCAACCCCGTAGAAACTTCTTGCTGTCAGTATATTTTGCGTCAAAGCGCTAGTGTGTGGAACGTTGTGTTGTGATGCGCGAACCGCGGAGGGATGCCGCAGCCTTGGTGACTGAGAGCGTTGTTTTCGCGATTCGCGCTGGTGCCGGGCGGTAGTCTGTGGCCCGTGGCCCGAGCTGATGCTAGCGCGGAGACGGCAAGATGCGATGGCGGGCGCGCGCCGCATCATCTCGCGCGAAGGAGCGCGCCAATATCAGTTTCTTCATATTCATCATGTTCTTCGCGGTGTTCGGTGTAATTGTCCTAACAGAACTTCTGCTTCTAGAACGACCACCCACCAATTCGCCTCGGCGGTACATTGAGAGTCTACAGGTGAGATTATTGACCGCGCCGAGCTTTATTTATATACCCGATTTATTATTTACGAAGCTCGCTTGTTGCTAGTGCTCTTTGTTTGTGTAAGCACCTGTGTTTATGTGTTAATGGGAAATCGTATATTTAGAAGGTTATAGTTTTTGTATAGGTATTTATTCGAGTAATTTGTGTAAAATGTAATTAAAACGAAATTGGAACCTACTGGATTTGCTTAAAAAATAGTATAGATATTTCTATAACATGAAAAACAAACGAAAATAAGAAAATAAAATAAAATAAAGAATACACTTTAGCACATTCGTTCGGTCGAGAAATCGATGTTTTTGTAAACAGTTTTCGTAACTAAATAGACAGTAATTATAATAAATAAGGAATACAATTATTTAACATATTTACTCCCTGTACAATCTAAATAAATACTTAGTCATTGTTACTTGTATTTAATTCTCTACCAACCTCCACTACGTACAATTTAAAATCTGTTTGTCGTTTGTCTCTCTGGCCTACAAAGGAGAGTTCGCTTAGTTTTGAGTGCGTATATTGTAACTCTTTACAGTAGCAACACAACTATGTATTCAATTACCACGAGAAGCTTTTACGTATATCAGGATATAACTTTGGATGTTGGTAACAACAGATTATATACAACTACTACACTCTAATGAGGACGAAGGTACATACATCTGATGGTACTCGTATAAGAACTTGTTTGAGACACATTTAAACTTCAACAAACACACTACAATTTCACAAAAACGAAGAGTATCGATCGACCTTATTATCCTAAGAATTTTTTACCAATATCGTCCATATGAGAAAAGCATTCTTAACGGTTCTAAACACAACATATTATATTCGTTATTTTTACCTAATCCCTCGTGATGATGAGTGCCGTAAAGTATTAAAAACTTATTTGTCTCCCGTTTCAAACAGTTAAAAGTGTTTTATGTGAGATTTACGTACTTGAAGGTCATTTACATTTAGCTGTTTTTCACTTAGCAACGAGATGCTAATAAAATGGGCATATACTATATATGCTCAGTCTTTGACGTTCTTATCTGAACACACACGAATAAGCATGACCATCAAATACGCAGATCGCCTCATATACGGGTCAGAGGTCAAAACGTGGATTGAAATTTGGCACAAAGCTATGATTTCTGCTAAAAAACAATTCACGAAAGGTTTTCTTCTGGGTGTAAATTTCTGTTTCTTTTATAGGTCGAATGAACAGAATCAGTGCCTTCCCCGACTAAAACTATGTATTGTTTCCCCAAGATTGGATTGGCAGATATGGCGATGCGTTTTATCTTAGAGCTGGAAAGACAACTTTTGGCTGGAAGAATTCAGTTAATGTTTGATAAATATCACTATTTTCTGCATGGAATAATTTTATCACAATTTAATTGAACTCGGCCAATTTGATTACATAAAATACGAATAACCGTGTCATTTTAAATACAAACTGAATATCGAATATTTAACGCCACTATAACAAGAATCTATGATATAGGACAGATAAGCACGGGGCTTACTTGGTAAAATATCAGGTAAAATACTCTAGCAATACGAGTATAACATCTGAAAAAGATGCGCTGTCGTCCTTTTTTGGATTTGGTGATTAGGAAATTTACAAACTGAAACCGAAACGCGAATTGACTAGACGGTATTTTTCATCGGTTTATAATGGGTGGTAGGAATTTCGACATTCCTACCACCCATTTATTACCCAGATTTCCAGACGAAGTCCAATACGTTTTATAAAAACATAAATGAATTAGAAAAATGTTGGGCGCGTCGTACCCACGACATGATGATTATTAGACATACACTACCACCATTAAAGCGACGAGTCCGTCGTTCCTGTTGAAAGATATTGAATTGATAGAAAATATTAGGCGTTTGTGATTTGACTTGTTTGTTGTTTCAGGACTCCCTAGATCGTAGATTATCGTAGTTTTGATTGGAATTCTACGTCGTTAATCAGTGCCTGGCTGCGCTATTTTCAAAACTATATTACAATCTCGTAGCGGCTCGTTTGCGAACTGTTCTAAGACTTAACAGTTAGCACATTGAACTTTTGCACTGGCAGGACAAGTTTACTTAGTAAATTGTTACTATCTCGTATATTGTTCGAGCACGGAACAGGTTTGAAATTCGAAGCTCGTTAAAACTAAACAGTGTAAAATCAAATCCTCAACAACTTATGCCTAAGTTACTAAGATTTCTCATTTGAATTTGTCTGTTTGTAGTGCATCTAAGGCGGGTTAAATTAAATGAAAATGTAATCGAAAATACACTAATAAATTGAATCTGTTAAAAAAGAAAATAGAAAAGAGGTATAAAAAACGCATTTCACAAACACAAATAAGATTTAAGCAAGAAAACGAAAACCTGTGCTTCGCTTGTGAAGCTAAGGTCTCTTGTTCCGCATCATCATTCATCAGTTCAACTTCAGCGTCCGTCCAGCTCTTCAAACTCCCACCCACATTGCTGTGGTCCAAGCCGAGGCAGTTGCCTCCCTTCTTACCTTTTATCTAGCGGCAAACACAAACGTTCTATTACGCGTACTCCTTAAAAAAATTGACCAGTAGAAAAACAAGTGTTTCCGCTTCTACTATAATAATTATTAAATACTCTCTCTGATATAGAATAATAGTTCTGAATTCCGCAATCATGGTTCGTGTAAATTTAATTAGTTAATTTATGCTTTGATCTGAAGCTTTTTTTACCTGATTCAAAAAGGTGTCTGTTTAGCTTAACTTAAACATGATATCGAAAGGGTACATTATTAATAAAATGCCACAGTGTTTTTTACAAAAATAAACTCTAATAAGTATAAACTTTTGACTGTCTCTGTCTTAACTTGTTAACAAATAAGAGGTCTCGTTTTCAAAGACAGTAGTTTAGTACCTCCTTCCATAGACATACAATTTTTACTATACACGGGACACAAATTTGCGCCCCTCCCAGCCCCTACCAACAACAAATAAGACTTTAAATCTATAAGGGATTTCATATATAACCCATATTCACAAAATTAGCTCAAGACCTGTTGCTAAGAGCTTATATCAGCTGAAGAGTTTCAAGTTAATAGGCTACTTAATTTTCTTAAATAGCTGCTACGATTATAAGCTAATGGAAGGTAGAAAATTGCTAAACGTCTGCTTTTTATAGTTACACTTTTCTTAAAGTTTACCGCCGAAAATTCTGGAAACGTTTCCACAACTTTGAAAGGAGTCAAAAAAGCTTTCTTGCGTTGAAAAGAAATATATGTGTAGGTGGTATATAACTTATGAATTAAAAGCACATGTTCTTCGCATTGCACTGAAAGTTGTTTGCCCAACGCGGTAATCTAATAGACGGAAGACTTGATTTCCAGCATGCTTATAAATAGTCTTATATATTTTTAAGCGTATAAGAAATTTGGAATATTCTATTTAATTTGTTTCCCTATATATATAATAGTTAAATATTTATGAGTCTATAGCTTCGTTAAAGTGTAGCATTATAAGCTTGAATTTTTTTTAAGAAATAGGCGTATAATATTAATACCTCATTTAGTTTATTAAAATAAAGGAGAAGGATTTAATCACCGTGGTCGTTATCGAATAATGGACACCGTAATAGATTTTGTAGCAGCGTGTGCATTGTGTAAGTCCATTGTCCGTTAGTGGCCTGATATGAACTTTTTCTTTTGTGTGTCGATTTTAACTCTTTTTTTATTTTTTCTTGCTTGACATTGATAATATATAAATTATATTAATAAATAATTTTAAGTAATTATATGATGCGTTAGCTTTAAAATAATTTCCGTCGCAAAGTTGTATTCGCAATAAACGCTAACAAAATGCCTCTATTGTGAACGGTGCGGAATGAATGTTTCATATGAATAAAGGATTTTGTACGACAATACCGCGGACTAAGACTCATTTACCTCATGTCACGTACTTGCATAACATTATTTTTTAGTCGCGGGTAACGTTGTATATGATTATACTGGCCGTGTCTGCGACTTCGTCCGCGCAGAATAGTTATTTTGGGCCTACAAATTTGTTTTAGCATCTTCATCTTTATAAATTTAAGCTGCCCACGACATCGAACGCGTCCCGTCGCTCGCGACCTTTAGTCCGGGTCCCGTCGTTCTTGCAAGTTAATCTTAAAAGATAGACATAGTGTCCCGGGTATTTTTTTAGATCATTTAAAGAGAAATCATTTTTTCATACACATTTTTTGGGTGTCTTGAACCGTTTTCCCAGCGTACGCAATGGAAATCCACAAGTATAAATAATTTTCCCCGCTTTTTTTTAGATATTTCCCGCTGTATCTTCACTTCTATTATTCACAGCGAGATGTTTTATAGCCTTCCTCAATAAATGTTCTAACCAACACAAAAATATTTTTTCACGAAGAACCAGTACTTCCCGAGATTAGCGCGTTCAAATAAACAAACTTTTCAGCTTTTTAAATTAGTATAGATTTCAGTACAGCTAGGCGCTTGTTACTTAAAAAAGGTTCTAGGACTAATGTAAGTCATCTAAGAGTTAAAAAGTTTTTATGACGTTTTAGGTAACATTTAAGTACTTCGTCTATGCAGTTCAAATCTAAACTCATATTTCTGTAAGACAAATTGCCTTACATTGCGTTATAAAGGAGAAAGAAAGAATTAAAACGCGAAATGTATCAGTTAACTTAATTCCAAATTATTTTAACTATGGCCCGCATAAATTTTAAACGAGGTTAACTCGAGTCTCCCCGTGACCACGGCTGCTGCAAAGCATCCGAAACGTCGGGCCGAAGTTAAAAATCATTTCCAAATAAGTTTAACTAATATATCGCGTTTTAAACCGTTAAGGTGTTTTATTTAAAAGAGGTTAACTCGTGTTTTAAACCGTTAGAAGGGTTTAATTTAAATGGGTACTACGCGCGTAAACTACTGACAGTACTTAATCCCGAGAATTTTGAATATACACACAGGAATTATACACTTTATAAAG